GAGGTACCCACCTTTCGTCACAAAAATTAGGCACCTGAATTACTCTGCTTCAGCATCCTGTCAAGGATGTCCTGTCTGTGTTCAAGGGCTCTTCTAGTTTTGCATACCCTGTCCATAACTACTATTAATGTAGTACAAGACCAGCTAATTCTGCAATGAATAGTACAGAGAGATATATAGCACTAAACTCATGTAATGTAGCTTCAGTAAAGATATACTCACCCCTTCACAAAAGAGAATTGCAAACATTTACTTCAACAAGACCTAATGAAAACTACTTTCTGGTATCACTACTATTTATTTGCCTGCAGAATGTTGAAGAGGCATCCTAAATCTGTCAATTGTTTGCCAAAGTTTCAGCTCTGGTTTACATAGGATAGTTTAGAAACTAGTTGATCAGAAGACCACAAAAAGTAATTTCTAAATGTCTAGGTATGAACATCATTTAAATCACTAGCAACTACACCTTTAAAGCATGAAACTGTGTGTGGCCTAAGCAGAAGATGGGCTGTAGGGAGGTAAGAATCTCCTACCAATCTCTTTCCAAAGAAATTGAAACTATTTCCATAGATCAAGCAGCACAGAATGACCTCAACAGGCTTCCAAGACACTGCAACCCATCCTCTTGCAACAAGGCAGGATGAACATAGCAAAGAGTATGAATACACACTACCTGTGCCCATGCATATACCATGTTTAGACAGGCTGAAAACAGTTACAGAAGTCCATGTCAGAAAACTGAATTAAGTGTTCTAATTCTCAGAATACTAATTTGTAATGGTTATTAACCTGATAATTCAACTGCTTTGGTGTTTAGGTATATGACTCTTTAAGTGTTTCACATTGATGTTGAGTATGTATACAGTCAGAAATTTTGGTGTACGAATGTAGTTATACTTAATAAAGTATGCAAACTCTTCCACTCCCCACCACACCAGCTCTTAGAGCATTAGGGAAGATACTAAAAAATTCTGCCATCTACCACACCAAGATAAAGAGTAGGGGTGTTGCCTGGTACTTTGCTAATGCATTTCTGAGTTATGAGCTAACAGACATGCCATAAATCTAATACCAAGGTGTCTCTGGGTCTTGCTATATAAGTGTAGATGTGAAGGTTTTAATGAAAGCTGAATTATAGTATAGCTTGGATTGGAAAGGACCTCAAAGATCATGTAGTTCCAATCCCCTGCCATAGACAGGGACACCTTACACTAGACCAGGTTGCTCACAGCCCCATCCAACCTGGCCCTGAACACTGCCAGGGATGGAGCATCTACATCTTCTTTGGGCAACCTCTTCCAGTTCCTTATCACCCTCACAGCAAAGAATTTCTTCTAATCTCTGATCTAAACCTATTCTCTCTCAGTTTAAAGCATTTCCTCCTTGTCCTATAGCATGTCCTTGTAAAAAGTCCCTCTCCAGCTCTCTTGTAGGACACTTTTAGGTAGCAGAATATACTCTAAGGGGTCTCCAGAGCCTTCTCTTCTCCATGCTCACCAACACCAACTCTCTCATGCTTGTTTTCACATGGGAGATGCTCCACCTCTCCCTTCACCTTCATGTCACTCCTCTGGACTCCTTCTAGCAGGTCTACACCCCTCCTGTGTTGATCAAAAATTACCATTCCAGTGAATACAGATACAGTAGTGTGTCCCTATCTATCATTATTTTAGTTGCCACTTTGTTATCGCTGGTTATATTTTTTTAAGCTCTTTTTTGTATTTAACTTTCTGAATACTCCAACAAAAATGTTGAAGCTCAGTAGCAACAGCTGTGGTCCCTTTCATGTAAGGATTAGTGCTTCCTAACTGGTTTTCAGCAAATACTGTCACAAGGGTTTCTGGCAGGAAACCTGTTGATTTATGTACAGAGATAAGACAATTTCCTTCTTCTTATGTTTTCAGTAAGTACAGAGGTAAAAAAGGCTTCCCTTTAGGATGACAGCAAATGTTTAAAAAATGTCAAGTGTTTAAATTATTTGCTGAGTCAGAGTTTGTAACAGCTGATTGTTAGGAAAGTGTTTTGGAATAAAACTGTGGGCAGTGTAATGAAAAAACTGTTTTTAAGAGAAATAAAGGAAAAAGGTGAAAAGTACACATAATTTACCACACAGTTCTTTGTATTAATATAAGGTTCAAGGAAGCAAGAGATTTTTTTCCTTGGGGAATCTGAAATTTGGAGACTTGTCATGTTTAGGACCATGCACCCCATCTTTCAACTGCAGCAAATAGTTCATTCTTTTTCATTTAGGTGTAATTTTTGTATCACCAGGGAGGGAGATTTTAAGTCACTAGTTTCTGAGCTTTTGAAGCCTTTTCAAAATTCTTTTCAATATGGCTTAGACAGGCAGAAGTGGGTGGATTAGCTCGACAGCCCGCATCCACTGCTTAGTTCCAAGGTTTCAGTGCAATATGCATCTCACACATACCACAGCACCTGTTGTGGGTCTTAAGCCCTTTGAGTCATAAGCGTTAGCTGGTGCCAGAAAACTGGGGCTTCCACCAGAGGCGAGAATGATTTTTTTTTTAAATAAGGAAGAAAACAGAACCAAAAAATCCCAAAACCCAAGGGTATATCTGGACAAACTAATTTTTCTAATGTAATATGTAAATAGGATATTGAGATCATTACTATCTGAAGAGACTGCCATGGAAAAGGAAAATTTACGTTTATTCATGCAGAATAGGGGAAAACCCCTTAAAGCAGTGATATTGGTCTGGAGATCCAACTAGATTTCCCATCTCTGCTTGAACATTAGTGAAATTTTGACCTAATATATCTCTGAAACTGTAAGCTCTGAAATTTGAATTGCCATTACTTTTGTCTAGCAGTCAGTATTTCATATGTTATTGAAATAAGTTCCATCTGGGAGTGATGATTCAAAGTCAGAGTAAACCAGTGGGTTGCATGGAACCACATCAAGAATCGCAGGTCCCTGCTCCAAGGAAAGGCACCTGAGATTAAATTCTTGGTAACTTCTGTTGTTATTTCTTTCTCTTTGTTTCCCCTTTGCTTGGTATTTTGAGATAATGTTTAAGTTGTTTTTTTTCCCATAAAGAGAAAGTATAATAATCCAATCTTTAAAATGTGGCCAGCAATGATTTTGAAATTCTAATTGTCCTTAAAAAGTTTAGGTTGTGTTTACTGCCACAAATGTAAATAGTGAAGCTGGAAAACTCATCAGGACAGTTTTTGCAAAATACCCATCATTACAGAAAACAAAGCCAAATCATTTACATTAATGATCCAGCTTCCTTAATTCTTGACTTCGATACACTGCAAGTGACTTGCATTACATCTCATCAATGTATGTTTCCAAACTATCTTCTAAATGCCTGCTTAAGGAATAAGATTTCCTTGAGAAGAAACACCTGGAAAGTGACTTTCACAATGCAATAGAAAATTATTACTGCTACCCACATACCTCCATTCTACAGCAGCATTTCATTTTTACTCATGTAAAATATCCCATTTCCACAACACTGAGCTTAATAAAAAGTGATTACGTTTTTGACAATAGGTAATTATTGAAGCAATTTGTTATGTATACAAAGAGGAACCCATTTAAAGGCAAAATATTTCAACAACTAAATAATTCTCTAATTATGTTTAACACACAAATGTTTTAATTGAAAAGGTTACTGAAGGAGACTACATGTTGAAATTTAACCCCAGCCAGCAACTAATGACCACACAGCTCCAACCACACCCTCAAACCTTCTCTGTGGTATGGGGAGGAGAATCAGAAGGGTAAAATCTGTGGGTTGAGATAAGAACAGTTTACTGACTGAAATTAAGTCAAATGCAGTAATAATGACAATAATAATAATAATAATAATAATAATAATAATAATAATAATAATAATAATAATAATAATAAAGGAGATAAAAAAGAGAGGGTGGAATAAAGCCTGAGAAAAACAGTGATGCACAACAAAAGTGCTCACTCCCCCAACTGATGCTCAGCCCATCCCCAGAAGTGATTGGCCCCTCCTGTCCACCCCCTCCCACTTTACTTGCTGAGAAGATATTTTATGGTATGGAATGTCCTTTTGGCCAGCTGGGGTCAGCTGTCCTGGCTGTGCTCCTTCTCAGGTTCTTGTGCACCTGCTCTCTAGCAGAGCATGGGAAACCAAAAAGTCCTTGACCTATGGTAAGCACTGCTCAGCAACAACCAGAACATCAGTGTGTTGTCAACATTATTCTCATCCTAAATTCAAGTACACAGCACTATACCACCTACTAAGAAGAGAATTAGCTCTATCCCAGTCAAAACCAGGACACTACAATATGTTGGACACACTGAGATTCCATCAGAACGAACTGATACTCTGGACCCAATTTACAAATCTCACTCATGCAGTCACATATGGCTTTCAGAAAGCATTCAAAAAATACGACAAGACCAAGTGATTAAAAAAATTTTACAAGTTTTATAAAAACATTATACATTAAATAAATGTATCAATTAAGCCTTAACATTAAATTTTAGAAAGCACATAAAATGGTTAACATTCTTTAAAATTAAGACTATCAATTTTTTCAATAGGTACAGGTAGAAGTTTATATCAAAATTTTATCGAACAAAAGACAACCCCTAACTTTAATAACTATCTAATCAGAATATACACTGTCAAAAATATTAATGTGTTTAGTGATTTCTTATCTATAAAAACAGAAAAGAGGGATACTGTAAATATCTTACCTGAAGACTCAAAAAGTTCTAAACATACCAGGAATCTTAAATCAGAGAAATTATAGACCTATTTTTCTGAGGATTCCAGCTCAGAAGAATGATGAAGCAAGTTTACAAGAAAGAAGAAATAAAAGACTGAGTGGAAAAATACCCCTGAAATAAGTCAGAACATTAATATTTGTCTACTTGCTTGTTTCTTTGGCTTTTGTTACTGTTAAGCTATCACATAAGTTTGAAAGGAAATTGGTCCAGTCATAGGTTTTAACAATTACATTATCATAACATAGGTAATTATTTTGACACAATACAAGCAATAAAAAAAAAACAAAATAAAACACAGCGTAAGTTGCTCTTTCTCTTCAGACTCTTCTGATTTCTGATCCCATCCCTCTATTAAAAAAAAAAAAATCATTCTAAACTTAGACTGTTAAGAGAATAAAATAGCCATCTGGAATAATTTTTCAATTTATAGTTTCCCATGTCTTCCTTTTTTCCTTGAGCGTTTTTTATGGACAAGTTCTTCAAAAGCCATAATTTCATCTTCCACTTCATTTTCCAAGTCTTTGTCGTGCACCAAGCCTATATTAAAAACAATAAATTAATGCAGAATGGAAAACCCAACACCTTTTTCTCCCAATGGCATGACAAGCTACGTCATTGCTATTCTATATGACAGCAATATACCTACATATGTGCATAATCATGTTTAAGAAGTTTTTAGCTTAATATGACAATGTACTTAAGAGTTCTTCAATGAAGCAGAGACTGCTAAGCCATTTGCTGCTCTAGCAATTAATTTTCAGACTGAAAATCTGCTCCGATTGTTAGTTCCTTTGAATTTTCTAAGAAGTCTGTCTCATCTCTCTCAAGATTCAGTTTCAGCAGACACTACATTGCCCCACTGACTTCCAAGACAGACTATAAGGTTGCTTTTGAGATTACAAGAGCACTCCCATTCCTATTACCTGTATCTGCTGGAATAGGAAGAGGCAACACAAGGCTTTATCACAACCAATTTTTCTAAAACTGAGCTACTTTAAAGCTTTATATATAGTCCATTTTTTAAGTCTAACCATTTAATTGCTGCCTATTTCTGCAACTGTTGCAATCCCACCACCTAAACATATGTTTAAACATGAACATTCAAGGAGGCAAAATGAAGTCTTAAACTTGCCCTAAGAGATCTGTGATGCAATAGACTGCATCAATGTATGCTACTTTTTGTATGAAACCAAGAGAAATGGAAATGAAAATAAAAGAAGCAAATACAAGCATCCTTAGTCAGGCTGGGATCCACCAATGACCAGGGAGAAGACTTGCTCCACTCTGGCTCCCCTGCAACCAGCTGCTCTGTTTTGAAGAGCCACTGAGGAAAGCCTGGTTATCTCATGTTTTCCAGAGTGCCCCTGTAGGAGTGCCTCTCAAAGGTCAGTGAATATTCACAATGCTGCTGACTGGGAGACTGAAGTGATGCTTAGAGACCACTACTGAACAATAGTGGGCACAGAAAGCTGTGCAATTTTAAAACATATCTTCTTCTGTTATCCTGTGAGAGTCCATTTGCTTCATCGATTTACAAGCATCATCAATGGTGTCAACCAATTTGTTGGCATGCATGGTCATTACTTCTTCAGCTGAAATGGAGCACAGTTAACATTCTGTGAGAACATTTAGCTAAGAAATGGACAGCAACTAAAAGTCAAGCACAAAATGAAGTTACACAGAGGGATGACGGTGCTGCAAACCCAGAAGTCATGGTCACCTTTGAGTGATGAGTCATGAGTCATGATCTCATGTGGGGGATAATTCACTAATGTGGACGAAGATAATGTATGTATTACTCCCCATTCTAATCAACATTACTAGCACTATCAGAGCAGAAGTTCTACATCCTTGTGCTGCCCTTTTTGAGTTGCATCTGAATCCTGAAAACATTCTACTTTATTTTTGGGTTATAAAGTTCCTGACTTTCATTATCTCTCTAAAACTATACAAATCAAAGTAAAACATGGACCTAAAATGCTGCAGTCTTTGCTGAACTGTGCCATTAAGAACCCGAAAAATACCTGTTACAAAGAGAGGGAAAAGTAATCTCAGAGACAAATAATTTCTCTCTATATATTTTCACTGAGTAGCAGAACAAGGTAACATTCATCAAGCCGTAACAAGGCAACATTCATCATTGTCATAATGAAATCCACTATTACCTACTATAAGCCTTATAATTAAGCCTACTATACCCATCTTATTCATCACTGTCACGGTTCACTGAGCAGGAAGCCAAGTAAACAATAAGCTAAACTTCATGGACCTCATCCATATGTAAAACTTTCCACTAGGAGTAAAGGTAAAGCTTACACACGAAGAGCACAACCTAACATTTAGTTACAAATTTAACATATTTCACTGATCAGAGCCGATGAACATATTAAATTCTACAGTTTCTCAATACTGTCAGGCATCAAAGGCAAAATGACAGCTATACAGGATTGGTGGATTTCTACGACTGAAGCCAGTTAAGATTTAGGTTGTCACTTTCCCAAAGCAAGTATACTAAACAATTTTGCTTCTAGGCCATTCATTCACTAATTCAATTTTGCTTGCAAAAATCAGTATAGAATAATGCTTCAAGCATATAAGGGGAAAAAAATCTAATATCAAAATATGTATCTCAAGCACCGTAATTTACTAAACTTTTTTATATCAGTGTTGCCTTTGAGTACCTGACACACCACAGATTTGTGGTTAAGTATCCACTTTTGTTCAGCCCTAGCAAAATTACAAGTTCAAGGGTAGAATAATCAGAGATATCCTTAGTCAAAGACTCCAAGTAGTTCTACCAGGCTACCCCTGCATATCCAAATTACTATGGCTAGCAGAAGTAAACAGGAAACAGTAGAAACAATAGTAAAACCACAAAGTTGCTGTAAAACTGTAAAACTATGTAAGTTCAGAGAACACCATACATCTGACCATGTGGTTAAAATTCACTTTATTATCTATAAAAATTGTCTACTATTCACCTTACTCCATAATTCATCAAGTTGGAAGAGTTTAGAATTTATTTTCAGTATTTCCAACTCTCTCAGTTCTTCTTTTCCTCAGCTACCTGAAATATCTGGAAATACCTTTCTCTTGACTACATGAAGATTTTCAAATGGAGCTTTGCCAGGTCTAGCAGTTTGGCCAAAAAATTACCTATTAAATTGTTTAAAGAAAACAGGATAGGTCCTACCTTTAGCCCAGGCTTTTTTCTCATAGATTTCCTCTACTGCATCTGAAATTTTTTTAATATTCTCTTTGATTTTCATCTGACGTAAGTTGGAACCTTCTTTATATGCTAAATGGTCTCGGGTGTAATCCCTTTCTGTAATGGCCTCCACTACTTCCAGTCCATCATGTATTTTTGGATCTATCTTTCTTCTGAAAAACTCAGCATAGTGTCTGTAGGCAGCATGGCTGTTTGTGTCTTCGTCTGTGTTTCTGTGCTCCATAAAGGCCTCACTGGCCACAGAAATTGCATTTCCTTCTGCATGCAACTTTTCTTCCCCACTGTTCTCTGTTGGTGTCAGAGGTCCAGAAATGTCTGCCTCCATGCTTTCTGACCAGTTGAAATAGCTCTCAGAGCTTTGGATGAATCTGACTCCACAGAGGTCACACTGAATTTGATCAATATCTGCTCTTTTGAATATCTGTGATAAAAATTCCTCTTCTTTCATTGCAACAGGATGAACTCTGGAGTGGGCCTTCCTTTTCCACTTCACGTAGGGAAGTAAAATGGAACACACGATACAGCTGGCGTTGAGCAGATGCTTTCTGCTCTTGCTTCTGTTGCTTGCTGAGAGCAATGACTTCCAGAGGATCCTTTTGGTCCTCTAAGCAATGAACCTTTTCAAATTCCTCTTCCAGCTCATTGGCATATTCTGTTTCATCCAAAGAGGTTATAAACCTGTCGAGGTTTACAGGTTCAAACTGAATGTCCTGTATGGGTGGATGCCCCTGAGTGTAGGCAGTGTCCCACTTCCAGCAACAGTAAACCAAGTGCTCTTTATCTTGCTCTGTCAGCAGCTCTTGCAGGCCTGCAGCAACTTCTCTTACAGGAGTAGCATCACCCACTTGTTCCACAACCCTCAGTAATCTTTCAGGTACTTTAGAGGGAGTGTCTTTTTTCGTTGATTCCAGCATCACCTTGATTTCAGGAAAGAGGTGGTATAAGATGGATCTATCTTTAGAACTCTGCACCTGGTCAGCATTCAATAACATCACTAAGCAGAGCACTACTGTCCGCTCAGCCTTCCCTGAAGTTATGCAGTCAGGATCACTGAATGCATCCAGCAGGACATTGAACCTTCCATGAACACCACACAAGACTTCTCCTAGATAAGAGAGATGAGATCTGAAATAGTATACAGCTACATTTGTATCCTTTGGTCTATACTCCTGTGTAATAGAAAATGTGTCTTTAAGTTCTTCATAATGATCCTTGCGTCTGAACAAAAACTCCCAGTAATGAAGGAGAGCAATGTAACTCTTTGGAAGGCAGAGAGTAATGTTCTTGGCAAGACGCATCAGGACAGCACAACATAGAATATACTGGAATTCCAGCAACATCACAGCATTTCCTATGCTTGGAATCAGGTACCTTGTGCATTTCTTGATCAGGACATTCATGAAACGGAAAAAAAATCTTTTACAGTTTTCTGGGTTCTTATGAACATAGAATTGCTCAAGTGAATTTTCAAGAAGTCGAATGAAGCACAAGTGTGTTCTTCCTGCATTTTCGGCATTTTTGTCAGGTAGCAACATACCATGTCTGCCCTCTATTCCTTTGGTCTTTTCTCCCTGGCCTTTATTCTTTGGGGAACTTTTTGCCTTTGCCAAAGCAAACATTAGCTCTTTGTTATAATTATCCTTTTCTTTAAAAAGAAGTTTCTCAAATTCTTCAGGATATCCTGAAGATAAGATAAAGACCTTCATGGCACTTAGCCACAAGTCAGTTGATTCTCTTCTGGCAGCAATATTTTCATTATTAAACTTAAATGTGATGTACTTCTTCAACATTGCTCTACAAGGTTTGGAAATAACACTACTGAATTGCAATATTTCTTTGCATGCCTTTGGGTTCTCAGATAGTATTCTCAAATGAAAATGATTAGGAAAAAACACTCCTAGGAGGGCTTTACATGATGCATATTTGTCAGAAGTCAAAATGTCCTCAAAGCTTTTGCACTGATTTAGTAGCTCTTTAGGGAAAGTGCTTGTGGCTTCCAATAACAGTCCATTTATTGCCACTAGATGCATTTTACACTGAAATATTGTCTTTGCTTCATGACGCAGCAAGGGCCTGTGGTAACCCTCACAGGTTTCATCTTCACAGTTCAATCCAGCAATGATCTTCATACAAATATGAGGGTACTTCTTGCTCAGTAACTCACGGGCAATAAAGCCCAACCTGCTTAACAAGTGCTGCTTCAAAGCTGATTTTACTTTCTCTGTGCTTACTGATTGCCTTCCTCTCTTTTAGACTTGACTTGTCTAACAAAAACTTGATAATGGGTTCAGCTTCATTTTGAGATACATGGCAACTGTCACCTGTTGGGATAATCCCAAAATAGGCAAAGCATAACTTCACCATATCTTTCTCTGCATTGGTGGCTGCTTTCTTCAGACCACTGACAAGACTCAGAAGAGCCATTAAGCCACGTGTTGCCATGAAGAGTATGTTCTGGCTAGGAGTGCTGCAGTGACATAATGCAAAGAGAGCTTCAACTGCACCAGCAGAATGATTCAGAGATAGGAACTGATAATACGCGTTGCTCAGCTTCATGAAGTCTCCTTTCACAGCTCCCTGCAAAAGCACAGCCTCAGCAATGCCAGACTTCTGCCCAGTTTGTTCACAAAGTTCAAGGGCTTCTCTTAGGATGCTCTCCACATTCCCCAGATGTAATTCTGAACCGTGACTCAACCTGGCACGTGCTTCAGCAAGCAAACACAAAACTCTTTTACAGCTCTGAGGTTGGCTGCTTCCAGAGCAAACCCATGTTGTTTCATTAACTTTGCAGCCTTCTCCGGTCGATCCTTCCTTTTCAATAAGTCTGCTGTTTGGTGCAAACATCCACGAGACTTCAGAAACTCAAGTTGATCCTCTATATCAAATTTTGAGAGGACTTGCATCATTTCCTCAGTCCTGTTCATATTCAGGTACTTTGCAGCTGCTTCCAAATACAACTGATGTGCTGTACAGGAAAGTTTGGAAGCCATTTGTCCTTTTGCATTCAACATATCTTCGTATCTGAAATAATAGATAAATCAATTTATGCCACAGATGACAAATCTAGACAAAAAAAGCACTGCAATAAAAAAAAAGCATTAAACAAATAGTTTCCCCTAGAAGCCCTTCCTTCAAAAAGGCCAACTGTTTCATGTAACATGCCTGTCAGGCAAAAGAGGATCACATCATCTTAAAAGATCTACGGAAGTAAATTAATTACAACATGAGGCTATCAGAATCAAAGTTATTAAAACTTTTGGCACAAACAAGATCACAAGGTTTACAGCATTAATGAAGCATTCTCCACACTGCCAAATCAATGTGCAAATAATTTTAACACATTTTATCAGCATTATTTTTCTATTTATAAAAAAATATGAATTTCATTGAATTCTCCACAGGTCAATAAATACAATATTCTGTAAAATTTACATAAATTTGTCAGTTTACAGAGAATTCTTTCAAGTCTATTCTATGTATCTGCATATACTTTGTAGCTTATTGAGTGTCTGAGCAAAACACCTGGTTGCATCTTTCATAACATGCACTTCAGAATATTCAGTAAATAATTATTAATGGCTGATATAAAACCATTGAGGTATCCCCTAAGCCAGTTTCGTGAGTTGCTGAGAATGAGTAACATTTTCTGTTGGATAAGTAAATTTTCATTAGCTTTTCGTTATCATCTTTCTCATGAGAAATGTGGCAGTGCAGATTTTTTGTGTCTTATGTTGACAAATTTCCATGAACGTTTTGAGGGGGATGATTTAAAAACTTGTTTGTTGGTAAAGTGACTTTAATTCTTGAACTTTTTGATAAAACAATCTCTACATATTAAAGAAGCTTTAATAATTTTAAAAAGCAGTTATCATTACTAAAGGTACATCACAAAGGATTTATGTAAAACAAAGACAGTAGACAAAACCCTTCTGAAAATTTTTCAGTGAACCAGCTGCATTATATGGAATTTGGAAATGCAAAAGAGAATTATATTCCAAGACCATCTTCCAAGACATACCTTTCAACTGCCTTTGCTGCTTCTTCGTAGAGTTCTACCTGACAATACATTTTAATGGCCAGATCAAACTGCTCAATTAGTTCATAACATTCAGATGCTTCTTTGTAGCACTGGCTTTTCTGATAGTAAACTGCAGCATCTTTCATCTGCAATGCGGAAGTCAATAATGAAACTGAAGTGATGTAAACAGTCAAAATTACATGAATGGAATAAATCTTATAATTCCATCAGGTGTCTCATAAAGAAGTACACTTTAATAAAAAGTAATTAAAGTATCTGAAAAAATTGGAATTAAAGTATCTGAATAAAATCAAATACATATTAAAGTAACCATCACTAAAACTGAAGAGATTGTTTTAAAAACTTAAAAATATTTGTGTCTGAAAAACTAGAGTATAAAATGAAAGGTATTATACAGGATCTTCAAAATAATTTTATCCACTTAGCTCTGCCAGTTGTTAGAAAACACTACACATGCTTCTGCTCATTTACGGATTTCTCAGAAGGAATAGTGCTAAATTAAAACTGTTATGGATGCAGAATAAGAACCTTAATGTTGTATCTTAAACCTCAAATATTTGGGAACAATCATTTTACATTCTTTCAGTGGAAATACACTGAAAATAAAAGTATTGCATATTGTTAGTACACTACTTTAACCCTTCCAAGTTTTAAGGTTCCATTTAGATGGCTGTTATCAATGAAGTTTCTGTATCATCAGAGTACTGAATGAAGCAGCAGCTTAAGTTTCATTATATCAATCATTCACTCATTTTTGACTGCAAATGACTGATAATGACATTTGAGGAAAGCCAAAGAAAATAAAGCCAGCCTGAATAATTGCATCATTCTCCATTTCATTCCTCTTCTGACTGTTCTCTGACAAATGATTCGTTTTGAACAGCCCAGCTTAAAGAGCTTGTTTAGTTTAGCTATTACCATGACACAAAAATATACTACTACTTTCTGAGTAATATGAGAGGAAAGAAAGCTGTAGGAAAAGGAAAGTCATAAAGTGAGGATTTCATACCTTTCCTAATTTTTTACACAATTCTGCAGAAAGACGGAACTCCTTTGATTGAATCAGACATTTTAGTGATAGTTTTGGTTCTCCACATTCCAAGTAAGTTTTAGCCAATGTCATATATTCCATCTGTTTTTCCCTGTAGAAAGTAAGACAAAATTACCACTAACATCCAAATCAAGCTTAGGATCATGTGAGCTGTCACGGAATCCAACCAACACTGACATTACACATTATGCTCTATACATTACCTGATGAGTTATGATTTTACAATTAATTATATTTTGGGCTGACACTGCTCTGTCCAGAAATCTGTTCCAAAATACGATAGCTCTGGCAGTCAAAAGACTCTTTGGACATTTTTTTTAAGTCATGTACAGTACTGTGATTTTCTACTGCTTCTCTTTTCTTAGCTTGCTCTGTCCTTTCCGCTGTTTAGGACCAGTGTCATTAGAGACACAAGCAAATGTATTCTCAGCCTTTGTTTTGTATGACCAAACAATCTCAGCCTTCTTGGTATCACTGCAGCATGATCTAGATTGAATTCATGATTCTTAAGCCTGGAGAATCAGAACTGTACAGAGCATTTCATACAGAACACACAAAAATCTTACTTAAGCTTTTTACACCAGCATTAAAACCTCTACTAAAAAAATTCAACTTTGGCAGCTTCATTATTACGTATGTTCTGTCAACTTAACATATCCTAATACACCAAATTCCTTCTTCTCTAATTTTATGCAGTTGACAAGAACAGTAAACTGAAAAAAAGTTTTTTAGTCCCATCAACAATTCCTCTATAATAATGAAATTTTACCAGCAACCTTATACTTCTAACTGGGGCCACTAATGTAAAGCAGGTAATTAAAAGAGTTTAAATCTCTACCAACTCCAGTAATTGCATTTCTTCAGATCTTACCTCTTCTCTCTTGTGTGCCAGCTCCCTCTGATCTAGTCACTCCTTTCCCATTCTGCTATCATTGCTAGCTTCTGGTCCCCTCAGCATGAACAGGAACTGATTCACTTAATTCTAGATCTTTCTCCATTGAGTTTTTTCCTGTCTTATTTGAGATGAGTCCTAAAGAGTTTCCAAGCCTCTTCAGGAAACTGCAAACACTCTCCCCTGTTAAACTCTTGAGCTATTTTACTCAGCTGAAATAATGAATTAAATGGTCCATCTCAAAATCTGTTCCTTTAAAACTGCCCTTGTTTCAGATCTGGTTCTGCTTGTTTAGTTTAAATTGACTGTAACACTAATTTTACCCTAAAGCTCACTTTTTGCTAGCAGCTTTTCTTCCCCAATGCATACCACCATTCCTTCTCCTTGAGTGAACATATAGTGGGATTAAGCGAAGTTGAGCACTGCTGATGGCATATGTTCTCCTATCTATATCTAAGGATGTAAAGCCTCTTGATGTAATGCAAATCCTGTTGCTTTTCTCTCACATAACCAGTAAGCCCTTGCAAGGGCCAATTTAATTTGGACAGCCCTTCCACTACTCCCCAGAGGGAGTAATGCCCTGGATCCTGTAGTGCTAGACTTTCCAGTTTCTTAAATCTCTTTTGCCAACCACAAACCCATAAAGACACCCCTCTTGCACTGTTCTCAGATGTCTCTGGTCTGGTCCCACAGCTGTGGTGTGAATCTCACTCTCCATACTCCCAAGGGGTCTGGCACCACAGAGTGACACTCGTTCAACTGCACTGACACCTACCTTGGGCTGCTTTTCTTTGTGTGCACTTTGAGAACAGCATCGTGTGTCAGGGCCAGTTTTGATTTCTCAGCTGCTCCTCCCTTTTGGTAACATTTGGCGGCCACCTGGGGTGAAATCACACACAGCATTCACAGATGTACATCCAGCCCCTGGCTTATCACATAAAAGCAATACTTAATTTTACAGTCACTGGAGTGGAAAGCAGAAAGACTGGCAGGGTGCCTGGAAAAAGGAAAAGGTAAAACATTGTGGTATATTTTTAGGACAAAAAGAAAAGCTTGAATGTCAGTCCACGTGCAACTACCAAAATTAGAATATTAACTATAATATTGTACATGGAAGTAGTGAAAGCAGAATTCCAGAACAAATAGCATATGCAATTTGAATGATAGCCTAAACCATTAACCAGTAAGTGGCCAGGCACCTACAACATATTACTAAAAGTGAGGAAGACCAATGTGTGCAAAATGAAATTAAAAAGCAAGGAACATTTACTCAGTGCTTTTATCATACCAGTCTCTTTCTGTGAAAACTCAATAGAAACACCAGGAGTTACCATGCTCCTAGCAAGGTTTGCTTCATTATCACCCTGTTTGTTCTGCAACACCCTGATTTCTTTATTCTATCCATTAATTTAGTGTTGCTTCTGTTTGGAAATTGCACACTGGAAGCAGCTCTTAGAACTGCCTAAGTCGCCAGATAATGCCATCTTAAGGTAGCATTGATTAGCAAAGATCAGGGTTATAAAGAAAACAGATTTTCAGATAATATAGATAATACATTTCAGATTTCAAGATGATTTTTTTAGCTGTGTGGGGTTTTTATCTAAACGCTTTTCTATCCATTTAGAAAATCGCCTTTTATTTTCAAGGAGAGATAAAGACTATCTGTATAGTGGCAGCTGATTATTTTGGTTTTTAGCCTTGTTATAAATATTTATTTTCCCTTCAAAGAATTGTATGTGTTACCTGCAAAACACAGAAGCTTTCCCTCTGCCATGATCGAAAAAGTATCTAAAGTTTTATTTCATAGAATCACAGAACATCTCAAATTGAAAGGGACTTATAAGGATAATAGAGGCCAACTTCCTGCTCCCTTCAGGATTACATAAAACAAACTCACACAACTAAGAATATCATCCAGATACTTCTTGAACTCTGAACTCATGGCTTAATGCCCCCACTTTCCTGGGGTGCCTGTGGCAGACCACTTTCTCAGTGAAGAGCCCTCTTCTATGTCCAGTCTGATCTTCTTCTGATTCAACTTCATTCCTTCTCCTCATGTCTATCACTGATAATCAGAGAGAGATCAGGACCTCCCCTTGAGGAAGTTATAGACTGTGATGAGGTTATCCCTCAGCCATCTCTTCTCCAAGCTGAAAAAGACAAGCGACTTCAGCTGCTCTTCTTAAAAGATGCCCTCTAGAGTTGCCCGTGGCAATGGCAGGAGGTTGGGACTGGATGGTTCTTGAGGTCTCTTCAAAATCAAACCATTATTTTTCCAAACTTTTCATCCTCTTGGTCACCCTCCTCTGGACACACTCTAATAGTCTGATGCCCTTCTTATATTGTGGTGCCCAAAACTGCATGAAGTACTCCAGGTGAGTCTGTACCAGCACAGAGCAGAGCAGAACAATCATCTCCTTTGACTGGCTCACAATGCTGTATCTGATGCACCCAGGACACCATTTGCCTTTTCCATTGTGCTGGCTCATATTCAACTTGTCACCAACCCAAACTCATAGAATTCTTTCCAGGGGGCTGCTCTCCAGCCTCTCATTCCCTAATTTGTATGTATAACCGGAGTACTCCATCCTAGGTGCAGAATCTGGCACTTGTTAAATTTCATACGGCTGGTGATAGCCCACTAGGTTGTCAAGATGTCTCTCCAGGGCCTCTCTACCCTCTACTCTCGAAGGAATCAACAGTTCTTCCCAATTTAGTGTCCTCCTAGCTTAGTACTGTTGGCAACCATATTTCATGTACACTCCAGTCCTATGTCCAAATTATTATAAAAACCTTACAGGGCACTCACCATTAAATTGAGCACTGGAGGATCCAACCAGTGACAGGCCACCAGCTTGATATAACCCCATTTACTATAACTCTTTGAGCCTGACTTGTCAACCAGTTTGTCACGTAATGTATTATGGACTTTTCTAGTTGTGTGCTGAACCTTCCAACCAGAATAAAGAAAGACTGTGTGAGAAACTATAAAAATATTTGCTAAAACCAAAATATACCACATCTACTGGCTTCTTGTGGTCAGCTAGATGAGTGGCCTTGTCATAAACGGAAATTAAGTTGGTTAAGTAGGACTTTGCCATAGCAAACCTGAGCTGGCTATGACTAATGACTGCATTGTCGCTCAAATGTTATTTTCAGTAACTCCCAGAACAGCCTTCTCCATAGTTTTACCAGGCACCAAAGTGAGACTGAAAGGCCTGTAATTACCAGGGTCTTCCTTTTTACCTTCTTGAAAACTGGGACATTTGTCAGTTTCCAATTGACTGGGACCTCTCCAGACTTCCAAGACCTTTGAAAAATAACAGAAAAGGACCCCACAATAAAATGGGCAAGTTCATTCAGTATCTGGAATGAATCTCATCAAGCCCAATAGATTAATGTGCATCCAGTTGCAGCAGCAAGTCTCAAACTAGTGCAGAGTCAGCTGGGAGTTTATCATCCCCCAGCACATCATCAGCTGTGTCTTCCAGCACATCATCAATGTTAAAGACAGAGGTGAAGAAGGCATTAAGCGTCTTTGCCTATGTTCCTATTTGTAAGCTAAATGACCTCATCAAGTAATGGACCAATGTTATGTCCAATCCTTCTTTTGCTGTTAATGTGTTTTAAAATTAAATTTTTGTTGTCCTTCACAGTGCTGGATAGCTTGAACTCTACTCGAGCTTTGGCCACAGGAATTTTCTCCCTACAGTAACTAACAGCATCTCTGTTGCCCTCCTCCATGTCACCTCCCCTTGTTCCAATGTCCACACACTTTCCCTTTTCACCTAAGTTCAAGAAGATGCCTGGTCAGCCAAGCCGGACTCTGCCCCACTGGCTTGACTTCTGACCCTTCAGATTTTCCTGCTTTTACACTCTTCAGAGATAGCCCTTAAAAAGTGCCTATCATTAAAAAACAGCTCCTTCCACAGCCCAAGTCTGCTCTCCTGATATCCAGGATCAAAGGTTTGCAGGACTTTTTCTTCTACGGCCAAAAACTTGAAATTCAGTTACTTTGTGGTTACTGTGACCAACACACAAATCCCTGCTTTATTCATAAACACCTCTCTGTTTACAAACAACAAATTTAGGAGGTCACTTTTCCTTAGTCAGCTCCCCTAGTAACTGCACCCACAAGTTATCTTCAACATGCTTCAGACATTGCCTGGACCTGTTTGTGTCCACTGCATGATTTTCTCAGTTGATGTCTGAGACGTTAAAATCACCCATAAGGACAAGACCATTTGATCTAGAGATATCCCTTATCTCTCTGTAGAGTATTTCATTGATGTTGCTGTCCTGGATGAGTTTTGCTACAATCCCATTAACTGTCATCCTATATCTGGACTGTATAAACTAGGAAACAAAAGACTGTAAATTCTCTATGTTCTTTAAACAGAAAGGGAATGAAACCATTATTTTCCTACCCAAATCAATGCACTTCCAAGAAACGCTTTCATTTTTCTACAGTATGTGTATTATACTGTCAAAAACATGGTTTAGATTCACACATGTAAGTCAATTCTGATGGATGTTAATAATTGTTTTTCCAACTGTCTTTCATTTATGTGCATTAAAATGTATATCCCTCATGAGACTGAACAATTCTGGGCAGTGAATTTAAGATTACAAAAAGGCTTGCTCTCACTGCTCACTTCTTATAAGTCATTTACAAGTAGACACAAAGCTACAAAACACAAATTAAGGCAGACTGCAACAGAGCAACTGAAGGTTTATAGATGGTTTTATAGATACAGAGAAAAGAAAAGGTTTCAGAATAAGCAAAAATTCTTGCTTATTTCAGATAAACATATATTCCTACCTCCCAGAACTGGTGTTTGGCATAGTAGTCTCCCTGTGCAATCCATTCTTCTGGAGTTGAAGTTTCAGCAAACATGCTGTCATCTAAGTCTATAAGGGCAGGGGTGACCATTTTATGTTAGAATGGATAAACCACAGAAACCACTTACCTTGTACCAAAACTAAGCGTTATGTCACAATGTTCCAAGCTCTATGTTTGTGCTTACACCAGTAATAATAACTATGAATCAAGTGTGGTAATACTGGTGTGAAGCTACCAATGAGAATACAAAAAACCGTAGAGTTTGGCTGTAGACTGGGCTAGTAAGTGGCTGAAGCTGCATTAACACAGCAGAAAATCTGACTGCAAATTGACCACTTTAAGCCATAAATATCTGCAGCTGTCAGGGTCCATTGAGCTCTCTCCACTGTCACTGCCTTTAGCATCCCACTGCCTGTTTTCTCCCTTCTCAAAACCTATTGCCTCTCAGAAACCATGTCGTTTTAATGTCTCTTTTTCTATAGTATTGCCTTCACAAGGAAAATTTATTCTTTGAAAGCCACCTCATTGTCAACACTGTCTCTCTGCAGTAACTGACTGAGCAGCAGTGACCTGATCTCCCTTTATGTAGGAACACCTCTTAAGGTCACCCCTTGAGGCTGAGGCATGCCTTACTCAACACCATACATCAATGGGCTGGTAAATGACATTTTTGCATGTGTGTAATATTTAAGATAGGTACAGCAAGCTAATGTAAAAAGTAGAGTATTGACCACCAATCCATCCATACTTAGTTAATATTTTACATATCTGAATTTACTGGTTAGAACTCAATAAACTAATTACAAGATCAGATCTGTCTAAGGGACTCTTCTCCTATGACAGCAAGAAAACTTAAACTAGTGAATTAGCAATAAAGTTATACTTTAACGCATACAACTGGTCTTTAGAGACAAAAGAAGTAAGACCCACTGAATTAAGTGGAAATTTGCAAGGGCTGTTATCAATGCATACTGTTAGAAGGACTAAGAGATTTAAATTTCTTTATTACACAGACTGAAAGCAAGAAAATATGAGTTTTGACTGTCTGACAGTCTTTTAAGAAAGTTTTAGGACAACTTTACCTTTCTTTTCGTCTGTTTTGACAACCTTAACTAATTTTCTTTTAATGAAATCCTTAAAAGCTGGAGCCCACTTATCACAGTCTTCATCAAAGATCCAAAGATTGACTCTGGCTCTTGTAATTGCAGTATACAATTGCTTGAGTTCTCCATTCAGCAACTGAAGCAGAACAAAAACATAAAATAAAATAAATTAAATGCCAGATGAACTAAATTGTTAGAAAGAAACACACTTTGCAGTTATAAGAAAACAGAGAATTTATACAGAATGAAAAACAAGTAAAAAAGTGCTTTTAAGTAAGAAAGTCTAAATATTAAAAATGGGATTTCAATTACATAAGTCATTGTCCAGCTAACTTACAAGCAACTACTACTGCAAGTCAGTTGCAGGTATGACAGGCTATTTTCCTTCTAATCACTTGCATATATAAATATGAATTTACCATACAATCCTGAAAATATCTGACTCACCAAATTCTAAGCAACTTCCTTAATTTCTAGGTAGTGACACCAATCAGAAATCAGACTATAGGAATAATGAATATTGACAAGCTGAATTGCTTGCTAAAATTAACCACAGTTGTTCTGTAAACATACCCAAAAGTCTATAACACAGTTTTGTTCTCTAATCAAATTACTTTTTGCAAACAATCTCTTATCTTTTAAAATCAGTATTACATTACATTATAATTATATTATACAAATGTGAACAACTATAAAAAGTAAAACAACCTTGATAAACATGTAACTAACAGGTTGAAGGAATTTATGAAATTTCCCTACTTATAAGAAGAATTTAATTTGTCCTTCCTATTCCCAATGTTACAAAAAACTCACCTTGTACATTTCTACATTAAATGGAGTCCTTTCCTATATACCAGTGGCATCCTCTAATGGCACTTCAATTAGCAAGTTGCTTCCCACTTGCTCATCCGGATCAGGACTATAAGAAGAAATTATCTTCCGTTCTTTGCTAGCCTGAAATATCAAGAGAATAAGGTTTATTTGTATGTACTAACCACTACTGCCTATATATACACAAGATAAGGTTGTATGGTGTAATCTGTTCATCCCTGTAAGGGAAGAAGGCTCAGAGGAGAAGACTGAGGGACAAAATTATCTCAGGTAAGAATGTAAAGAATAATCAGCAATTTTCAATGAGAAAGTTGAACTTCATCTCAACACAGCCTTTGCTTGAGATACTTGTCTGTACCCGGTGGTCATCAAGGCATATAAACAACCTTCCCTAAAATAGCTAGTACAGATTTATACCTTCCTGAGCTGCCCAGGCAAAAGCAAAGATGTGCCTCACCCCAACAGACAGTGGAAAATCTGAGGAGCAAACAAAACAAGCCTTTAAGACTGCAACTAGCTTGAGCTGGCTACAAGCCGCATATTACTTTTCAGAGACTGGGGATGGCCAGCATCATGATCGAGAAGCTAATGGGAATACATATAGATATACATATATACAGGGACCACTAATGGGAATCACATCTGTATTGTGATTCCAATGTATATTGTCATTGTTATGCTTACAGCAGGATTTCAGGATCCTGCTGATCACTCTTCTAGATTCAAATAATATGCAATGCTCAATATATCAAATAAGTAATTTGACATTAAATATGAAAACCTCCTTGGGTGACTATACATCTTCATCTAAACACCCTTACAATGATCCCTCTGTGGAGGAAATAAGGTTACCTTCACCATGGAGGAGAGTCAAGTTTTAGTCCAAAGGATAAGGATTCTCCTACAGACCCTCAATACCGCAACAGACATACTCACTTAAGGGGGAGGGTCTGCTGATTGCTGGGCCAGGCAGCTCCCTGCCAGCTTAGGGCAGAATGAAAGATAAATGGTGGTGGGATAAACTCACAAGCTGCAATTTGTCATAGTAAAATCTACTACCTAAGGCACGTTGGAGAGATCTTGGCCTGCAAGTTAGGATGGGCAGCCACTAAGTGTCCTTGACTCTACAAGGCTGACAACTTCAGTGAGCTGGACCCACACATATCCGATGCTGGCATATATTCTCATCATCAAGGTTCCCAGAAAAGATCTAGCTGGTCATTCATGTGATGAATGTATTCGTGTTGAACACAAATAACTGCTAGCACTGGTCTCACTCAGCCAGGGGGTGGAATGGCCCCTGCCAACAACTCCTCCTATAAGAACACTCAGAAGTGAGCAAAAAAACCCACTCATGGGGAAAGTCTAAAAAAGTGTGGTCAGAAAATATTGGACTCCAACACAGAGACATGTGAAAGATGTCTATAAATACTCAGAGACACTCCTAATTGTAAGTTAAGTGTGGCAGCAGATCAGTGCTGTGCACTCTCATGTAGGAAATGCCAGCTCCTGATCACACTGCTCTGCAGGTTCCTGATCCACTGCAAAGCTAAACACATTAAAATCATGACTATATTCTAAGTTACGTTCATTTTTCTCTTTTGGTATTTAATTGAAATGTGAATAAATACTGCCCCGTTTCTGGCACAAAATTAAAAATACTCATAATAAGGCTGAAATAACATTTTTACAATCTATACATTTCTCACCTTTCAGCAACACAAAACAAGTTAACTGTTCTTCCCACAGGAGAAAAAAGCAGGAAACCTTTCCTGCAAAATGTATTTTGAAGTTAAGATTTCAAAAAGTCATCAATGAAGACATTCCTAAGCCTGTCATAGATTTTAACATGACAACCAGCTAAAGGTATCAGTTTGGTCAAGAGCTTGCTGTATTTTAGGGGCTTGTCCTTTTTGCCTTCTAGATTTCTCATTCACATCTGCTTCTTGAAACAGGACTCTTCTTAAATCTTACTTTCAAGACAAATAAAAAGAAAACCCAACACTTTACAAAATGCAGAAAGCCACACTGCTGTGTTTTCAATGGTTCACAGATTCATCTTTTCTAAATGAGAAAACCTCAGGGTGAGCTGCTTTCTTGCCTGCTTGTTTAGCTGCTCAAATCAACTCAATTACTCACGATTCACAGGAAAATGGAAGAATTGTATTAAAACAGTTCTCCAGGCCTGACATACATTAGTCTAAGCCAAAATGCTGTGCACAACTCAACTCTGCTAAACTGATTTTGCTAAATTCTGATAAATTATTGTTGTTTTTCTGATTACAACTTGCATCACCAGAAAAAAATATCTACTTTGAGAAATCTACCATGACAGCCAGTATTTACCTCAAGCTCCTTCCTTCTGCCCTCATCACATAAAATCCACTAACCTCTGTGAAGAGCCACTAGTAAGCTGCCCTCAGTTTTCTTGTGGTTTTCATCTGCTGAAAGCCACATGAGACACTGTTTTGAAGGGCAGAGGCAGAGGACATCTGCAACAGGGCTGTTCACACTGAATGTTTAATTGCAGAGTAACTCAGTCGTGGGTACATGGAGTGTCTGCAGGTATGTTCAGTAAGGAAAACTTGGAATACTTGCCTGGTTGGGGTTAGAGTAGCTGTCTTGGTGTGCAGCAGAAGTGTGTGTGATGTGTGTACCCCAAGGTCTTCCTTAAATTTTAACAGTAAACCTGAAGGAAAATGCACTTAAGGAAACACATTGTCAATTCATAAACCTACAACCTCACTGTTTTCTACTGCGATGAAACAACTCATCTTCAGAGAAAACTAGGAATCCTTTCCCAACTGAACCACAAGACTATAAAAAAGATTGACTTTAGAAAATATGGATAAAATGGATAAGAATTAAATACCTCTGAATCTGTGAAAAAGTTGTAAAGGAGGACATCATCAAATTCCAAGCCCTTTGCTTCATAAATTGTCAGTACAAGTGCCAAACTAAGTTCCTCAGGTAACTTCTCCTTTGCAGTTTGATTTGTCACTAATACCACCTGCCAAAAAATGTATTTAAAAAACATCAGAAAGTTAAAAAGGAAAAAAATGTAACAGTTGCACAGAGAAAAACAAACATGATGCTATTATAAGAGCCTTCTAAAAACTAGATAACATTTCACAGAGACATTTCAGCACACTTCACAAAAAAGGTCACAAAGCTGCCACTAGAAGACTGACAAATGCATGGTTTGTGCAGACAGTCTTAGATCTGGTGTAAGAAAATTTGGAGTTAGGAAGGAACAGGTCAGACAATCCCTCACATAATACCTCACACCAAAAAAAGAACAGAGGGAACCAAACGAAAACGAAAAGCAACTCCTTTCATTATGCTCTGGGCAGTGTCACCGGTTAAGAAACATGGCATTAGGGTCATTGATGCATTTCATTAACAGGGCTAGCTCAGCTTGCATGAAATCCTGTATCTCATCACCATAAAACTCATGGATAGACCATGGCAGCTCCCTGAGCTTTGAAAGTCTTTGAGATAAATTATACAGTAAATCTTCTTCATCGAAGTAACCTCTCTGTGATCGTATCTGCTGATAAAGACAGAAGAGGTGATAGATCTCACTCCTGTCTTCCATGAAATTTGGTGATTTCTTTCAGCCTAGCTTTTTGTACTGCTCCTCAGTAAGCTTGCCCCCAAAGCAACTCAGTGCCTCAAAAGAGCCCTTCAGAAATTATTTTACTTCTTTCCAAACCAGTGCTGGATTGTACAAGCTTTTACCTTTTATCATTTTTGGCCATATTTCATTTACAAATACATTGTAAGTCACAAAAGTCCAAGGATCACTTTCCTTAGAGCATGCATCTGCAGCTCCTCCATCATCACCATGTTCTGCTTCAAGATTACCTTCTTCATCCTCATCCTGCCAATTTGGTACAACTAAGTCTTCCTGAGGACTCCAACCAAGAATTACTCTTTTAAGACTTCCATCTTCGTTTCTTGGAAAAAATGGGTCGGGTATGGATGCATCTAGTAACAGCAACAACTGCCTGGAGGTGACAAATAGTGGAAAATGTTCATCTTTAATGGCTTGTAGCCTGTGAATATTTGGGTCCAGAGGCTTGAAGTGACTGGTCACCTTGGAAGACTTGCTAAGTTCAATGAAATTCTTCTGAACTTCTCGGCACAAGACATGATTTTTTGTTACGAAGATCTGGTGCAGGGGCTCCAGCCTGTTTGATGCTTCTGCGCTATACATTTGGTCTTCTTCCACAGTCACCACATGAATTCATTTCTGCACCAGCTGTGCCCACAGGAACTTTTTCATCCATGCTGTCCTGGCTTTGCTCATCACTCACCTGCTCCTCACTCGAATCATCACTCCCCTGTTTTAGTTCACTCTCTTCCTTCCTTGAACTAGCTTTTTCAATGTCACTGCACTGTCTCTGCTGCCATGTTTGCCTCTCCAATAAAGGTCCATCTGCCAAGGTGGATTTTTCCCAGTATGAATAGAATTTCTTCCAAAGCCTATATAAGCAGCAAGTTGTCTTCCCTGTCCCACTTCACCCAGTTAAAATGATTGGTTCCATAGGCTTTGGATTAAGATCAATCACTGCATACTCCAACTCCCCAACTCGGAAAGGGTAATCAACAGAAGACTGTACATCATTTATAATGTTAAGTGCCATGTTAGTACTGAAGCTGTGAAACTTCATTATATTGTATTCCAGTTCTGCTGCACTAGCTGGAGGGAAATACTCAGGCATGTTATGTTCTTTTGATTTTTCTGCTTCCATGTCTTCAATGTAACAACGTGGAACATGCTTCTGTGTTGTCACACTGTGGTTCTGATATCCTTCGTTTATACCCTTGAGTTTTTTCCTCAAAATGCAGGATAAGCCATGGCTGTAGGAAACACATATATTTTCTAAGGCACGGTTCAGCTTGCAGTGATCAAGAACAATGGCCCAAATTCTAATTATTTCTGTGTAAACTCTACCTGATTTTTCTAGACAACTTTTTGTCTGTTCTGTCTCCATGATTTTTTCTGGACTCTCACTGCAACGAGGAGGAAAGTCAATGGCAAGTTCCCATAGCATTCTTGCACCTTTGCCCAGTTTGGCTTCATACAGCTGGATATCAGCTTTCAAGTGTTTCAGTGGCTTCTGGAGGCTCCTAGGCCATTCCCCATTGCCAAGCTGCTTAATTATCATTATGGTTTTAGCTTTCAGATAGAGGCACAGCTTTACTGCTCAAAGTCTTTAGCATTTCAGGAGTGCACTCTATTTCCCAAGTCATGTTATCAAACTCTTGCACATATGCCTCAATATCCAGACTCTTCCCCTTTTCTTCCCTAGTTCTTCCTTCTCTCCATTAGGCAGGGCCATACTGAATTCCCCTGTTCCCTTCTTTTTCTCCCAATCATCCCCTTTTCTTTCAGGATAAGCTATACTTCCAGAAGGTTGCAACGAACTCCTTTCCTCTTCTGAATTAGTCTGGGCTGAAGATGGCTTTTGCACCAGAGGATTATCCTTTTTCAGGGTTTCGCTCACTTTGAATTGCTGAATTAAAGCTGTGACTGCCTGCACTAGACTTTCCCGCAGTGTTAAGGGGCTGTGTATTCCTTCTGTTTCCTGCTTTGTTAACTGACCTTTTTTTGATTTTGTGGAACACAGGTTTTTTAAATCATTATGCACTGTGTTGCTAGATCGTGCCTTCAATGAGAACTCAGATGAAGAATGCCCCGTGCTCTTTGACTGTGAAATCTCAGAGGCTGGAATGGGTTTAGATGTTTTAACCAACTGCCCTGCTCTATCTTGGCGGTGCCTCTTCTTCACCTGCACAGCACTATTCCAGGCTTCTAGCAGTAGATCTCTCTTTTTAATTCTGCACCACATCTTTTCCTGATTTGTTTTTTATGTTAAAGTTAATGTCAAATTTTGCCAATAACTCTGTTATTCTCTTAGTCTGCTTTGAAAATCCTCTCTGGAAAACAACATGCATCACTGTATTTCCATTGTCATCTTGTATGTTTGGATTAAGATACAGAAAGTCAGATGGTCTTGAAGCAAAGAGGTCAAGCAGATAGTTCAGGATGTTTAAACCAGAGCCATCTGAAAGCAGGAGAACAACCAGAAAATAAGCTAACTTGCTTTACAAGTCTGCATTGTATGCCAACAATTTCAATACTTTTTTTTCTGCTGCTAGTAAATTAAAATCAGTTGCTTAAAAAAAAAAAATCTACATTTCATATTTACAAAACATGCTTATGTGAAACAGCTCAAAACTGAGCTTTCCCAAGTTTCAGGGAAAAGTATACAAAGGTAGCAAAGCTTTAGAAATTCCTAGTGCTGCAATTATTCCCATAACATCAGTCAATTTCATTCCTTTTTAACTTCCGAGTACAGACAGATTTGTTCATTTTCCAACATCAGCCCTGACGGCTACCCAAGGGAAACTGGTGACTTGTCATCCAGACAAGCAGCAGCTCAAGGTAGTTCTCTGGGATCATTTGGTTCACTTTAGTAAGGCATCCAGAAGTAATCTGCTGCAGATAACCTGCAGGAAACCCCAGTTACTCCCTGATATTTCAGGTCTCTGAAGCAATTCCTACAAAATCAGATTAGTTACCTCCCTGGAGGGAAAAAATACACATATATTCTACAGCTTTCTAGATTTCATCCAGATAATAGATGTGATTTAAAAGAAACAATATATATGTGAAACATTTCTTTTCTAGCTATAAAATAGTGGCACATCAAAATCACTGTAATCACACTGTAAAGAAATTGCACATCAAAAATTTCACACAGTGAAAAACACTTATGAGAACATTTTGTCAGGGGACTTCTTAATCTTTTGAATTAAAAATTACAACTGACATTACCTTTGCTTTTAATCTCTCTAAAGCCATTCAGTGAACTGTTTGTGCTTTAAAAAGTAATAAATCCAATATTTTAAATAATTTTAATCCTTCAATTCAAAAATGCATTTTTTTGTTAACTTAGAATCAAACCTGATATGGGGCCCTCATTTCACACTTTATCCTAACTTTTTATATTTTTACCTAAGCCCTACAGTTCTTTCACTCACTTCTCCCCTGAACAAAACTTTAATTGATTTACAACTGAATAAAAACTGATAAACAGATTTCAGATGCCACTGCAGGATTTCCTTCAAAGTCTGCTGCCATTGCTCTAACTTTACCTTTGTGTCTTCCAAGATATGTCCCATTTATTTCATTCCCACGTGGGACTCATTTCAGAGAGTTTCATAGAAGAGCCTTCCTTGATTCTCCCGTGTCACCTGAGCTGCCATTACCTCTCCTTACAGTCTCAGCCAGCACAGCCACAAAGCAGAACACATCAGCTAAACAGACTGGTCTGTATCCTCTGGACTGCAGCAGCAGAATGGGCAGGTAAGGAATGGGGATGTTTTCAACAGCAAAAGCCTTACCTTTATTATTTAAACAGATGAAAACTGCAGCATGCAAAGGAGTATCTCCTTGTGCAACAGAAAGGTTTTGAGGGTCTGCACCTTTGGTCAGCAGCAAATATGCAAGTTCGAAATAATTCTTTCTGAGGCATATTTTCAGTGGTATTTCAGAGCTGGTTCCAATACCATCAGGCAGAGCTGGTGTGAAGGACAGGAAAATACCAGGGTTTAAATCTAAGACACCAATCTACTAACTACCAACAGCTCTGAACAGATGCAGTCAGATGCTGATTGCCAGGCAGGTGACAGGGATGGTTTTTGCCAGCTTTTTGCATGTATCTATTAAAACACTTTTTGACTAAGAAGATCATAATTTCCCTTTGTCTCCCATTAAGCTGAGCAACCAGTCCTTCTGTTCTGACAGAAAGACATAAAGGCCAGAACAGATCTTCTCCAAGTCAGTCAGTCAGTGACTGAAACAAGAGGCCTCCTTGTACCTCTGGCATTCAAAAGGCTTCTAAAGGACCATGTGTCCATAACTTATAGCTAACATCAAGCTATAAGATTAAATGAAATATACCAGAGGGATCCTAGGAATAAGCTCATGCAAAACAAAAGTATGATGATGTCTATACTAGATAAAAAAAGAAAGGCATCTGGTCATCAATTAAATAGTCCATTACTTGTAGCATAACAGCAGACTGAACTCAAAGGCTGTGGCTTACACTTTCTACCAGGATCATATTGTGGCTGAAGAAGAGAAATTAAGGCCCAAAAGAAACTACAGGTGAAGGAGCAACGATAGTCCTTGGCCTTTTACTAACCCTAGCAGACGAATTTCATTTGATAAACGTCTTCCACCCATGTAGCCTTACTAGTTTTGCCACGTCCCACACATCAGATGAAGCCAATGCACTGCACTCCAATAAGCTGCTGCACTTATACAGAGCCACAAAAAACCCCATGTTGGTATTTCTGAGACTATCTTGCTCGCAACATGTAAAATAACATACTGCATCTCTTATAGCACATGAATATCATAGCTTTTCACCTCCTCGTTGAAGCAATCATCTTATGAGGTGCACTTGCACATCCAGTCTTTCACACTGTTGGATAATGTTGCCAATGTCAACACCGGAAAGACTGCAGGTTTTGAAGAGTCCTCCATCTGATGGATTTTCCCCAGTCGCTTTCCCTGTTAGGAGCAGCAAAACTTTGTGCCACATTTGCTTCCCCAGCAATTGTTTTATGAAGCTGTTAGCACAGGCACTGGAGATGTTGCATGAGATTTCTTCAGGGATTTCTGCAAGACAGTCAAGACAACATAACTCACTCAAAGCCATATAATGAAATCCACCTCATTGTAAACTAATTCCAGAATAATTAACTCATTAAATTGAAAGTAAGGAACAGAAAATACATCTTTCCATCCTTATGCTGTCAGCCAAGTAAGTTTGAACATTTTGATGCATCATGAATTTCTGTGCATATTTCACAGGTTCTAAGTGCAAATCACAACATTAAATATAATTAAAAGCACATTGTTCCAGTCATAAAAGTTACAGAAACAGATAAGAGAAGGAAGGGTAAAAGGGCAGCAAGTTTATGTAAGCACCAAACACATTTTTTGCAGCAATTAAGTTTTGTGAAAGGGAGAAATGGGAACTCACTGCACCTTTCACAGAAGACAGCCATTTCAGAAACCGCTTAACTTCATCTTCCTTCAATACATTTTTATTACATGCTCCATTTTCACACCTGTAGAACTGGACAAACTGTTCCAGAACATCCTGGAGAGAATCTGTATCAGCTGCGGCACTTTCATTCTCTCCTGCAAAACATTACAGAAACTGAAAATCCATTTCCTTGCTAGCATGTTTTCAGGGCAAGACTGTAATACATTACATCCCAGGGATCTAAGAAATGTGTAGTGGCAGATTAAAAACAGATGGCTGAAACTCTTACTGCCAATAATACCAGTCCTGTGATGGATTTCTTATCCCAAAGGAAATTTGATACTTTCATCAAATACACTCTTGTCCTGGTTTTGCCTGGGATAGAGTTCTTTTTCTTCTTAGTAAATGGTACAGTGCCATGCTTTGGATGTAGGATGAGGATACTGTTGATAGTACAATGATGTTTTGGTTGTTGCTGAACATGGCTTACCCTGAGACAAGCACTTCTCCACATCCAATGCTCTGCCAGCGAGCAGGTGCACAAGAAGCTGGGAGGGAGCAAGGCCAGGACAGCTGGCCTGAACTGGCCAAAGGGATAATCCATACCACAGAATGCCACATTCACGATATAAACTATGGGGAATTGGCCATGAAGGGACCATTGCTGCTTGGGGATGGGTTAGGCATCAGTTAGTGGGGTGTGAGCAACTATACTGTACATCACTTGTGTTTCTTGGGTTTTATTCCTCTCTCTCTCCCCTTTTCTCAACAATAATAAAAATAAAAATAAAAATAAAAATAAAAATAAAATTAAAAATAAAAATAAAAATAAAAATAAAAATAAAAATAAAAATAAAAATAAAAATAAAAATAAAAATAAAAATAAAAANAAAAATAAAAATAAAAATAAAAATAAAAATAAAAATAAAAATAAAAATAAAAATAAAAATAAAAATAAAAATAAAAATAAAAGTGATAGTCATTTATTTTATCTCCATTTTTAGACTGTTCTTATCTCAACCCACCATGGGAGGGAGGGAGGGAGGGAGGGAGGGAGAAGTGAGTGAGCTGCTGCTTGGTACTTAGTTGGCAGCTGAGGTCAAACCATGACTCTATCTACCATAATTCACTAGGCTGAAAACTATAATAGGTTCTGTATGCAGGCAGGAAAATGCTGCAATTATATAATTGTTCAGAATTTTTAGGGTAGATGAGTAAACCCAGTAGTGTTTGCAGCGTACACTTTTAATGAGCTTGTCTGATTCCCCAGTGCCATTTAAAAAATACAGCCATAAAAGAATTTTTTGGATAAAAGAATTTATCTTCTTAAAACTAAAAAATGAAGCCAAAAATATACACCACACCAAAATGTTATCTACACATTTAAGAGATATTTATGTAATTGGAAATAGCAGATTATAAACAATGTTCCAATAAATGCCCTTAAACGAACATGGAAAAACTTGGCTTGGATTTCTTAAATGCTTTAAGGAATTCAGATACATGAAAGACCAAACAAAACAGTAGCTTTACCTCTTAGGACAAAGAGAGAGACAAGGTTGGTCGTCTTTTTAGAAAGAAAGACTAACCTCAGATTACTTGTAAAGCAGAGGCTTATTGCCCAGCCTCTCATTTGCACTAAACTTAGAAAACTGTTGCAGGCTGTGCATCGCCAAAAAAACCCAAAAACCAAAAAAACCCTGGCCACAAAAGACAGCGCAACCGGAAATGCCAACCAAAGCCATTATTACCACAGAGATATTGGTATTAACCTTCTAATGGAGAACAACTGTGCTACAACCCTTCTCCACAGCAGAGATCTCCACAGTAAAGAAAAAAAACCTGTGGGAATTTCTTTGTCAGGAGCCATAAGATGCAAGCGCAATGAAACCCAGTGTTTTCCAATAAACTTATAAACAATACACACATGAAAACTGAGCTGTAGCCTAAAAACTTTGCTTTATGCCAAGCTTGATCTGAACATCACTTAGACACCAGTTGCTTTCAAGCAAGGACAAAACGTTCACTATTGACTAGCAGGAGATCACAGTGATAACTCACAGGAAAATTTACATAAAACATACCCACAATTAGTTATTTGAAATAAAATTATTTTGTACATAATGGCTTTAATTTTAAAACAGGAAAAGCACACACTGCATGTAGTACCTGTTGGTTTCCCAGAAAAAGTGTGTTTCTCAATGTGCTTGCTGACTTCTTCTACAGCATCAAAGTTTTTGTTCTTTTTCAAAATATCTATGACATATCTTGACCGTGCATCTGGAACAGTGGGATCAACACCAAAATTCAGGAGCATGATCACGTCTTCTGTTTGTCCTAAAGCAATACATGAAAAAAAATGGAGGAAGAATAATTCATGTTGTTCAAGAGTTTTTTTCTGTTTACCTTTTTATTTTTAATTACCTGGCACAATTTCTAGCAAAATTTTAACTTTAAAAACTCTAAATTCTTCCAGTGGCATAAATTGAGAAGGTGGAAATCAGTCAAAGATTGGGCTTGAAGATCTCAGAGGCCTTTTCCAAACTTAATGATTCTGTGATTTTATGATTTATAATATTTATTATATATATAAAGAAATAAACTTTAATAGATACATATAAAGGTACGTGTTTTCGAATATTATATATAATACATAAAGACATAAACATTAATAAATAAATAATATATTAAAATATATGTGCTCTCTATGTAATTAATCCCATATGAATATTACCAAATAAACTTTAAGCGTCCAAAATCTGATGTTACCTTGGCATTCATGTTTGCTTCCTGTTGCCACCTAGTGGGCAGAGTAAGAAATACAAGAAAAAAGCCAGGGTAACATACAATGAAATCCCACAGAAACTGTGAAGGAAAGCATTTAGTTTTCCTCTTCTGACAAGGCACACTGCTATCTAGGTCTTACATTTTCACCTATTGAAAAGGAGAGTCCTGACAGCAAATTATATCTTAGTTATCCAGGAATTTTGGGGTCCTTTAAAAATTTTGTAATGAACTATGTTTACTTAGTTAAGGAATGTTCAACTGTTATTTTAGCTGGTTTTAATTTAGATCTGTGTTGGCTGAGTGTCAGTAGAAAACCCTGATAAATTACCTCACCGATCTGTAGAAAGGAACTTGAAGGACCCATACCCCTTAGGTAACTTAATCAATAGTTGAAGAGCAAAACTCAATAAAGTATTGTTTAATGCTGTCCTATAACTAGAGATTAATTAAATGCCATAGAACAAGAAAGATATCTTGAGAGGGTTAAGGATTCAAAGGCCTATACACCCCAGAAAACTTGCAGGTGCAGTAAGGGAGACACTTCAAAAGCTTTAAACACCCCAGAAAACTTACTCAATAGTAATTGTCTAACCAGGACAGCAAATGTAATAAAGCACTGTTTAGCTGGATAAAACTTGGGTTACTCATTTTAAAAAAAGATAGATGAGATGTTCTGGTGTTAATTAAGAGGAACAAAATACCATAATGCAATAAATTGGGCAGGCTTTTGGGAGTGTCTATAAAAAATAATGGATGATATAGTGTATATAAATGACTGAAAATTCTTGTTTGAGCATGTCTTATGTTCCCAATTTTGACTCCAAATTGTTATTAGGAATGTTCATCTCATGGCTTTTTGCTGTTAGATTTAAACTCTTTTTTTCAGGCCCCCAGGTGGTCTAATGTGATTTTAACGGCACATAAAAATTTAAAAGGTAATTTCTATGATTCTAAAACCTGCAGCATACTTGTGAGAAAATCCTAACTAGACAAACCAAAGAGCAAAGAAAATGGCCACACATCAGGCATACAAATTAGAAAATGAATTCTTGGAATATTTAAGTATCAGTTGCCAAACTACAAGTCAATTTCTCATTTTATTCCTTAGCATGAAATAGTTAACACTAGGGTCTGAAACTTTCTTCCCTTATATATTTTTCCAAATGAAAACAAAACAATACACACACACACAAAAGTATTTACTGCGTTTCTGTGTATATTCACTGGAAGAGGCCACAATATGCAGCAGGGTCTGTCCATCTCTGTCTTTCTGGTTGATCCTATCCTTCAGCTCTGGCCTCCAAGTCAGTAACCATTTGAAGAGATGATTCTTTGCTGAAATTATAAAAAAGCACACTTAAAGAAACAGATCCTGAGGTTTTTTTCCCCTTCGGAGTGGCAAGATGCAATTCCAAGGTTGACTCATGACTCTACTACACAATGAAACTGTTGCTCCACACTGAGAATGGTGGAAAGAAACACTGTACCTCTTTTAAAGCTGATATATTCAGGTTACAAAAGATGCATATCAATCACATTTTTGCTTCAAAACACAGAACAGAATAATTATATTAGGTTTCCACCACTATCAGGCATGGGTGATCAAAGAGAGTGTTTACAACATTTCTAAAAGAGTGCTTTATTGGCATGTGCAAGGTTTACCTATATGATCTGACCTGAGCTGTTGGGACATTTTTTTTCATTTAAAAAAGGTCTAGCTGTCAGTTCTCTGATAAAAGCCAGCATTGTTTCATTTTAGCTGCAGATGTCACTCACTTGCTTTGATACACAGTCTGATAACAGCATGCAGCGGATACAGTCCGATGGACTCAGCCTTCGCTCCAATGGACATTAGGCACTTCACTAACTCTGCTACTTTCTGCATCTTCTCACCGTGACCATACAGCTCAGAAGTCTGGTAGAAAAGAGAACAATTACAACACATTATTTTTACATACACAAAAAGCATTTATTTTTCAGTCTTTTCTGTATTGTCATGACAAGAATCAGTAGAACAACAACCAAGACACAGCCACAGTAAAATGGAACTATTTATTTCATAGACTTTCACAGAATAGCTTGGGTTGGAAAGGACTTTAAATATCATCTAGTTTCAACCCCCTGCCACAGGCAGGGACATCTTTCACTACACCAGGCTGCTCAGAACTCCATTCAACCTCAAACACTTCCAGGGATAAAGCACCCACAACTTCTCTGGGCAGCCTGTTGCAGTGCTTCAGCACAGTATCTAATCTAAACCTACCGTCTTTCAGTCTGAATCCATCCCCCTTGTCCTGTCACCATGTGATATTGTAAAAAGTCTTTCACCATCTTTCTTGTGGGCTCCTTTCAGGTACTGGAAGGCCACAATTAGGTCACCACAAAGCCTTCTCTTTTCCAGGCTGAACAATTGAAATTCTCTCAGCCTTTTCTCCCAGGAGATGTGCTCCATTCCTCTAATCATCTTGGTGGCCTCCTCTGGTGGACTCAGTCCCAACAAACTGATGTCAAGAATAGCGTGGTCTGCAGGACCAGGGTGGCAATGATCCCTCTATACTTGGCGCTGGTGAGGCCACACCTCAAGTCCTGTGTTCTGTTCTGGGCCACTCACTACAGGAAAAACATTGAGGTGCTGGAGTATGTCCAGAAAAAGGCAATGGAGCTGGTGAAAGGTTCTGGAGCACAAGTCTGATTAAGAGAGGCTGAAGGAACTGGGATTGTTTAGCCTGGAAAAAAAGGAGGCTGAGGAGAGACCTCACTGTTCTCTATAGCTTCCTGAAAGGAGGCTGTAGCCAGTTGAGGGCTGGTCTCTTTCATCATCTCCCAGGCAAAAGAAGGAGAAGAAATGCCTTTGTGTCAGCAGAGGTTCAGATCAGATATTAGGAAAAAAATATGACTGAAAGAATAGTTAGCACTGGAATAAGTTGCGCAGGGAGATAGTGGAGTTATCATCTCTGAAAGTGTTCAAGAGGCATCTGGATGTGGCATTTGGGGTTTAGGGGTAATTATGGTGGTGCTGGGTTGATCATGAAGGTCTCTTTCAACCTCGATGATTCTGGTATTCTGAGAAAGCACACAGTCTGCGCAGAAGCCAGCTGAACTTTAAAAGTATGTTCTAAGCAAGGATTTAATTAACATGAAGCACAGTCTACAAGGGGTATATCCTATAATATAGGATACTCTGGAGGTGTGCAGAGGAAGCTTATATAGAAATTGAGACAACATGCAAGAAGGAGGTGGTCAGCATTCAGACAAAACTTCTCCATTTGTGCCAGTCATCTTCTTAAATAGCAGTCTTCACACTTGCTTCTATCATTTACAAATAATTTTTTTTTTCCTAATACCTCATGCCAAATTTTGACTGGCAAGAATTACACTTTGAGCACAGTTATTGAATCAAAATACAACAGATGTCAGGGAGAATGTAGCAGCAGCAGGAGAAGTTAAAATTGTCAGAAAGCCACATTTTCTAATTTTCGCAAAGGAGAATCGATACTTATGGATTTTTCATCTTGATTCTTTCAGCCTTCCATGTGTACAACAAACCTACTAGAACAGGTAAGATAGGTTGGGCCAATTCAACAAAATTAAGGGCCACACTATTTTGTAAAGCCTGCTCATTTTTCCGGTCTCAATGAGGTGTTTTGCTTTGCTGGAAGACACTTTGCTAAGACACTCCACATGGGTCTTCTGTTGTGTTGCCATACTTCATTGCCAGTGTGGAGGTACTGTGCTAGCATTGGCACAGCACACCTGCCTAATGATACCCAACCAAGACATGCCCTCATATATCCATTCACTAATACTTCTGCTATCTCTAAAAACAAGCCTGTGAGGAGATAGGAATTTATTTTCCTTGCATTACCCTCAGAATTATTTCTGCTCACTTTGTCAGGCACCTTACTGAAATACAATTATGCAAAAAGCACCAATTTGAAATTACTATGATCAAAGTACCACCAGGACTGTAACAGCCAAATGGCAAATTCTAGTATATTCCACCAATATGACTTTTGTGAGAAACAGCAAAGCCTGACAATGAAGAAAATTCCTGGGAAGCATGAGAGAAAGTACACACCGTCTGAGAAGAGGAAAGGTGTCCTGTTTCTTCGAAGCCTGCAAATCTTGAGGAAACTAACGAACCATTGGTCGATGGATTTATTACAGGCCTGCAACCAGGTTGTGTGTGAAGGACTGAACAAAGATTCTCACATTAAGTGTGTAAGTACTGTCTTAGTTCTGCAGTAAACAGATTCATTTTGCTCTCAGCTTGTGAGTCTCGCATTCATACTCCAACAAACCTTAACGTGCCAGCCAGTTAATGCCAAGCAGAAATACTGTGTAGCCTACAGCTAACATCTTCTAAAGTTCCTGTCAGGAAGGAAACTGTAAGAAATATAGAAAGCTGTGGGTGCCCCATTCCTGACAGTGATCAAAGTCAGTTGGATGGGGCTTTGAGCAACCTGGTCTAGTGGAAGGTGTCCATGCCCATAGCAGGGGGTTGGAACTAGACAATCTTTAACATCCCTTCCAACCTGAATCATTCTAGGACTCTAGGGTAAAGCCCAATGGAATTTCTCACAAACATTTCAAGATACCTTTAGAAAGCTGGTATGTCACTGCTATGTAAACTGGCTGCTCCAGAGCTACAAAGCTGGTGAGCTCCCAACAGCTCCTGGCTCACAGGCAGTGTCTAACTACACCTGCGTAATACTAATATACTTTGGAAATACTAAATTTCATTCAGAAATATTACATTAGATGAAGTTAAATTTTCAAACAAATAGATTATAAAGTATAATCATATAACGTCCATGTGTTATTTTTTATCTTTCTTGGTTCAAGATGAAAAATCTCTCACTAAAGTTATCAGGAATAATAGAAATAGATACAAGAAAAAAATAAAAAACATGAACTTACTGAAAAGAGATTCTTCAGAGATACTTGGTAAACTCTGAGATCATGGGGCAACTCTTGCTTCTCAGACAACAACAACAGACAAGACTGAAAAAATACCCCAAACATTAATGCTTTTATAAGCACACTTAAAACTTTGTTTTTCACTGCCTCATCAGGTCTTGTCAGAAAGCCAACACAGGCTAACAGTATTTCAGATCTTTTTGTAATATCATGACTGAATCTCCATTTCTAATTTTCAACTTAATTAATGTAATATACAGTGGAGTGCAGGAAATTGCAAGTGTTGAAAGTTTCCTCAGAAATAAAAACCACGTTTAAAAGGTTAGGTCCTAAAAAATTCTCCAATACTTGGAATACTTCCAGTGCTTGGAAGTAACCCTTTGCTTTAGGAATGGACCTTTACATTGGGGACAAGACTGCCGAGCTAACATCAACATCCCAAGCAGAAAGCAAGAACTGAATACTGTATATTCTTCTGCTTTCTTCCATTTTATCACTTTCTCTAAAAAACTTTGCCTAGCTTCACCAGAAGACAAGGGAAGGACTATGGATGCCATCTGCCTGGACTTCTGTAAGGCCTTTGGTACAGTGCCCCACAACAGGTTTAGCTCTAAATTGAAGCAATATCAGTTTAATGAATGGATGTGAGATGGATAAGGAATTGGCAGAATGGCTGCATCGAAAGAGCTGTAGTCAGTGGCTTAGTGTCCAAGCAGAAACCAGTAGTGAGTGGTGTCTCAAGTGACCAGTACATTCACTCTCATCATCAATAACATTGCCAGTGGGATTGCAGGGTGCCCTCAATTGCTCAGGAAATTTGAAGATGGCACCAAGCTGAGTGATGCAGTTGATATGCTCAAGGGAAGGGATAACATCCATAGGAAACTCTGACAGGCTTGAGGAGCAGACCCATTGGAACCCCAGAAAATACAGCAAGGCCAAGTGCAAGGTCAGCAGAACATCTAGCAGACATTAGAATCCTGCCCTGCAGCCAGCCTGGAGAGGAATGGGGAGAGAAAACTGAGCTCCATTCTGGAAAGGTCCCCCGCCACCCTTTGCCTTCCAAGTGGGGGGAGGGAAGACCATCAGCCGCGGCCGGAATTGAATGCAGCAAACACCAAAAAACAGCCATGGAGCCAGAAAACTCATTACCGCTTTCTGGCTGGGCCCTTACAACCCTAGCCCAGCCCCAGCGAAGGCAGCCTTGAAAGACTCTTCATCATTAATAGCTCTGCCTGCCCCCTGGAAGAGATCGCAGAAAGAGATCACAGGACATCCCGCTGCCCAGGCAAGATACTAACTCTTTCACTGCCCAGAATGGGACTTGCAGAAACTTTATCCTCTTTCCTGAATGAAAGAAAAAAACCTGGATGATGATATGCACAGAAACAGCACGAAAATACTGAGGTCAGACAAAAGGAAGAGTCAAGTCCCAGATGAGGGAAGGAAGAGAGTCGTGGGCTGAAATTTCTCCTTTTTATGCTATGGAGAAGAGAGAAGAGACTCTTGTTTCCCTATAATACATAAAGAAATTATGGGGTGGATAGAATGTTCTAACCGTAAAAATGAGAAGAGGCATTGTTTTTAGAGTAGATATTAAAATGGCTGTGATCCCATGAGTTTGAAGGACGAGGAGATTAAGACCCCTGCTGCTCCCTGGGTGGGGGAAGAAGGAAAAGAAAGAGAGAAAGAGGGGGAGAAAGAGGGGGAGAAAGAGGGGGAGAAAGAGACCTCTGTTTTCAAAGATGAAGAGAGCTTTTGGTTTGAACTGTTACAATCCTTAAAGTGTGCCCTGTAAGTTGATATGGTCCTCAACAATAGTTGTGGGAAAACTGTTAGTCAATGAAGGGATCTTTACACTGTGATCAGATTTCCATTTTCCCAGGCGGCTGATCACTGTGACATCAAGGCCACGAGAAAACTCTTGTGTAGAAATCTCCACAGACTGAAGAGAGAAGTCTCCTCTCCCAGGTAAATTGATCAAAGACTCTTTTTTAAAAAGATGGTAAACTGACTGATTGATTTTCCGTACATTGTCAGTATGAAAGAAAAGGAAGTGTGTGGGGGGAGGAGGAGTGTTCTAAAACTTTTATTCTGAGTTTTATTCTTTTTTCTTATAGTTTCTAGTAATAAAGTTATTCTTTGTACCATTCAAAGTTGAGCCTGTTTTGCCTTCCTCCTAATCCTATCTCACAGCAGGGAAATTTCAAATTGGAGAACCAAAGCCACGACAAATACCAATGCTTCAATATTGCTTCAATAAATAATATACTATTATATAGTGCAAATATTATTATATAGTATTTAGTAACTGCTATAACTATCAGTACCATGTAGTAAATAAATTCTGATAAAGTACTTCAGTCTGATCATTATAATAAATTTAAATAAGTTATTTTATTCATATAGATATATTTGGCTTGCCATCCTTAATCCTGTGGGACAAAGTCTCAATTACATGTATATTATCCTTTAAACATAAATCATTCACCATGTCCACAAGTAGGATTGAATCCAACTGCACCCAGGCACCTCACTGAGGAGTTTAGGAAGCAAGTGGGTCTTGTCTGAACCTTATGACTCTACAGGAGGGCTTCCCTGATAAATCTCAACTGAAGCTTCCATTTTGCCTGTGACAGGCTGCCCCCCTTGGGCTCGCAGTGCTGTTTCTCTCACTCTTTCCCCCTCGCTCTCCCAGGCAGGGTTTGGCCCTTTTTTGAGACACCAACACCTTGGCTGAGCCATGCCCTAGATTAGGGCCATCGGAACCAGCTGGAAATGACACAGCTCTGGCCACTCCTCACAGGTGCCCTGCTGCCCCTACTGCCAGCACCTCACCACCAACTCTCCATACAGGTGTAACTGTGACAATGATCAATTTTTTCCACAGTTACTTGAGAGAGGAACCAAAATAATTTCAGATGATCCACCTTCTGATTTTTCTAATTTATCTGCTTTTGTTCAACAACCATGTACTTCCACTGAGATGCTCCTTTATTGTGGGTCTTTCACAGACAGTTTCAAATATCCAGCTTGTCATACAGAAGGAAAAGTTAAAGGGACCACAAATAAATTTGTATTTTTCCCTTCTAATTTGAATAGTATTTAATAGTGACTCCAGGTGGTACTGTAAGAGAGACAACAGACAGCAGCAAGAGACAAGCAGGATTTCAAATTCATCATATCCCTTTCAAAAATGAGTTTCAGAAATTATTTATCACTAATACCATTTTCCCAAGTCTAAAAATCAAGACATTTGAACCAGGCCAAAATATATATTCACAGCTTCGGCTTTTAAAAACAGCACGAGCTTATGCTGAAGTGGTAAGACATGAGTGCCCAACACGCGGTGGGAGGTGACATGGTGACACGATGACACAGTGACACACCCGCCACTTCCCTTTCTGGGCCAGCCTTTCTATCACTGCTTGCCAAATCAGTGCATCAAAATGTGCATGGAAAATATAATCATATGCAGGGTGGAAATTTGGTGGCAAGATTCGTTCATCTGCAAGAATAAGCAACAGAGAAAACTAATTGGTATACACATCACTTCAAAGTTTGGAGTGTCCAACTAAATTACTTCATTGCACAGCAATATTTTAGCACTGGTTAATACCCAGGGAATTGCCTAATGGGGGGCTAAAGAAACGCTGGTCACCCAACTGATTCAGTACCTTGTTTATCAGTGGCCAGACTTCATTAAAGAAGGGGGAAAAATTAATCCCTGCTCTTAAGAAACACCTCAAAGCCCCAAAGGCATTGTGAACCTCATGGCAAGTCTTCATTTCACTTATGGGTCAACCAGCTACTGACTCTGCAACAACTAATCAAGGATCTTAACATGGGTCTACAGGCTCAAGAAAAGACAGCAGAGGCACAACCTGAAATCTCCTGGCATGCCTGTAGGCCTATCATACAAAGCAAGTTAAACAGACCAAAAAGCAAACAGAGGAGGAGAGACTGAGGAGAGGGCAGGGAGACAGGCAATGGATGTTGCTGAAAAAAAAACATACAATGCCACAGGAAGGCCACATTTCCTCTTTTCATTGCTGTCCGTTACTAGTTGAGGGAAACTCCTCCACACTGAAACACACTTCACTGTAAAAAAGTTTAAACTGCCTGTCTTCTAATTATTTTCAAATCTACCTGGCTAAAAGAAAAGCCGGGTGCTCTGGACAAAACCCACTTAAAGTCTCTGGGATTTAGAGCTCCAAATCTCTGATCTTAAAGTCAAATTCTGAGCTTTTCTAACTATTTCATAATTTACATATTCCTGTGAGACAACTCATTCCCCTGCAGTATTTCGAGATTGTTGGCATCTGCTGTATACAAACTGGACCAAGTTCACCATATCCTTAATATATTCATAATTCTCAAACAGACTTGAGGCACTAAAGGAACAAAGGAATTGTCTCACAAAGGATGTGCTACTAAGTCCCATCATCACTATTGAAAAGCTCTTAGAAAAATTAAGGTCTTAATTTAAGTTTACCATTAACACTTATGAAGATTCCTGCTATAAACTCAGCAATTTGAGATTGATCTGTAGAAGAATTCAGGAGAACCAGACCTCTGTGGAACATAGAAACTGCCTCATAAGACTTTGATAACATGATGAATGAGTGGCCAGCTCTATAATAAGCCTGAAAAAAAAAAAAAAAAGAAAAAAAAAAGATGTTCGGAAAATATTCAGAGATATTTACTACCAAAAAAATTTTTTTGTAAATTCTCTCATGATGCTATAAATATGTTACGTAGCACTATTTCTTATATACAAATCCAAAAAAAAAAAAAAAGGTGAAACAAACTATTCTATTGTAATCCCTTGAAATTCACAATATGTTACTGATATTATCACAGATACTAAAAGTGAAATCCTGAAATTCAAAGCTTGGAAATAACTACAAGATGAAAAACATACTTTCAGCTGTATGTTAACCTATTCTAGATAAGACTGGGCGGTTTTGTGTCACAAGGTCCAGAATATATATTTATGTTTCCACATCACTGCATTTTGCACAATTTCCCACAATGCATATATTCTTCAGCCAGTAGCACCTGAATGTGTTTATATTCACCCTGAATTAGATTCTACCAGCTCAGAGTCACAGTAGAGTTAATTTGTTCAAATTAGGTAACTGGCATATTGCAACACAGTGCAAGTTAAATGGGCATTTGGATGCGATTTTACCATATCTAAATTAAAAAAAAAATTCTACTATATAAAAAACATTCTATTAAAGGCTCCAGGAGTCTTTAGTGGCTAGACCAGAAGACTGTTTATTGCACATAAAAGCCAATCCAAGAGTATGACTCTACATCATAAATACTATGCCACTCCTACTTATTTCTAACAGATAGCTATTTGAGTCAAGGTGTACTTAATCAATGTGTATTTAATCACAAGCCAAGCACAGTGTATTGTTCTGTCCACTGGAAATACAATATGGCCTTGATGACCTAGTACCACTCCCAGGAACTGGAGACTTATTAACAGGTAACCCTTGTTTGGGATATTGATAGTTACATTTATTGAAAGCATTGGTACCTCTCTCATTGGGACCCAGAGAGAACCAGCATCTCCTGGTACAAAAGGGAGCTGCTTCATTTCATTAAAAATACTATTACAGCTGTGAATCTGATGCTTATGTATAGAATCAAACACTGTTTCTGGAATTTTATGCTATATTTACTCATCATGGCCTAAACCAAAGACACAATAAAATGAAGATAATGACATCATTATTAAATTAAAAACGAAAAAACAAACGAAAACAAACAAACCAAACCAAATTAAAAAAAAAAAAAAAAAAAGAAAGGCATGCAAAAGCTGGCAGCTTAAGCACCTGAATACCTTAACATATTCTGGATCCCACTGTAAGCTTTGGTGGGCTAAAACCATTGAATCCTTCCATTTGCCCAGGCAGTACAAGGCATTTGATCTGTTGCACAACAACACAGCTATGTCCTAGGAATACCTAAAGATATGGTTTTAGCATTACTGTTTATTCACTTGAAAAAGGATCATGTTTTATAGTTAGTGATATGCAAAAACAAAAAACTACACATATCTCCTACCTGACAAAATTAGAGGTAAAAAATACAGTTGTAGATATCGGCTATGAAATGTCTTAGAGACATCCTAATGATACCATAGTGGTACCCACAGTGATAACCTAGTCTCTTCTGAAGGCAAGCCACTGAAATAATGAAGCATGAGGATTTAACAAAAGTTCAGACCACCTCGATACACTTACATATGGCTCAATGAAAGCCAGCAGCAGGGAATGGGGGAAAACAGACACGTGAATGGAAGCTGTGGAATGGAAGGAATACTAAACACATTTTGGTCACCAAAGAACAACTTCAATGCATTTTAGTGTATCACCACTTGGTGAAGTCAACAGAAAAATACACATTTAAAACAAATGAGTGGCTGGTGTTAAATTAGGTTAACAGCAGTGTTAATACACAGTAGTAATGAATATATAATAGTTAACATAATACTCAACTATTTAATCATTAATAACATTATCAATTTATGTTAACTGATGAAAAGTACTTAACATCTGGAAAGAAATACCCAAAGGAATCTCCTACTGAAATATTCCTTTTAACACGTCTCAGAACACTGAAAACGACCAAGTAACAAGAACAAAGTAACCTGCATGAATCATTTTACAGATAATCAGATGATTCATGTAACAAGAGGCCAGGACGTGGCAACATCACAGCAGGATTAATCCACGACATGTCAGCTAAGAAACAGAAGTAATTTAACAGAAATCAGTGCATTTTATGGAAAATTAATTTAAGCTTTAATTGAACTAATTTATAATTGATGTTTATGTAAAAAAATTCAGATTTAAGTCACAAATTAATCTCTCACATATATGTAACGAACAGAATAACTATGAAACTAGTATACTAAAGAGTGTGAAAAAAGATAAGAAAATCAAGTGTTAGGTCAACAAATAGTTTTGAATTAACTGTGCAACTGTACATATTTACATATTTACATATTTGAGGCTTTTCTTATGGTTTACATCTCATCGTTCAAGAATACTTACGGGACCCATTGCATTAAATAACCAAGCGTTTGTAGAGTTTCATCATAGTTTTGATGACCAAAGAGTAATTTCCATTTTTAAAATCCTGGTTCCCAGCTTGCCTCTTCAACTGTGCATATGCCATGGGATCCATGCTAAGGAAAAGCAAAAACACTGACTTATGAGACACTTCTTTCCCTAAAACTGACTTAAATTTTCACCTTAGTTTTTGCATATTTGAAAAGGAGGACAAAAGAGCACATCATCTTTGTTTTCTGCAGTTGGACTAGTAAAATAGAGTACTGGTGACAGCTTCATTTTTGCTGTTGATGCCTCCTCAACTTTTCATCTACTTTTTAATAAACTTCAGCTAATCAGATCTACCACTGGTATGCATTTGTTTTCCATTTTGATCCTCCGGTCTTAAACTGTGTCTTTTAAATTAAGATCTCAAATTACCACAATGTGTGAGCATATACTCAATGCAGGAGTAAATATCTGAGAAAACAAACAGCATTTAGATGCTTAAGAAATATATGAAGCTATACATTTCAATTAATTAAACACAAAGCTCACTTACTTGCTTTTTATTTATGAGTCTAGATACTCAACAAGCCAGTGTATACAGGACTGCTTAAAAACTTAATCACTGTAAGAAAATATTGTAACATAAATAGTGCTTGAGGACCTTGAGGCAGACTTAAGACAGTTATTAAAATGAATACAGGAAGCGGCCAAATAAAAAGGTTGAAACTAGCATCAACTGTAACTTACCGAAAAACTGTTTCATCATTAAAATTCTAAACTCAGGGTCATTAAACAAAACTAATCACATGGTCAAGCAGCTAGATGAAAGAAAAAACGCAAGAGGAAAACCAGCTACACGTATGAGAAAAAGCATATAAGAAACAGACAAGAGAAATATCCAGTGCTAAAGTGCTGCATAGAATCATTCTTCACAGACTGATTTTATGATTAAAAGCTGTTTCCAACACCTGTAAAAACCTGTATGAATCTCACAAATATCAGTGCAATTAAGTAAGATTAATTCACCAAATAGGAATGCACAGATTTACTTATTATCTAAGTATTAACAGGCGTGTAACAAAACCCATAAAATCTGCAACCCTTGCAACCTGCTAACATAATGTCAAGGTTTAGTCTGGCAGGCAGCTAAGCATGACACAGACCTCAGCTCACTTCCCCACTCCCCGAGTGGATGGGGGAGAGAATTAAGGGAAAAAAGTAAAATTTGTGTGTTGACATAAAGATAGTTTAACAGGACAAAAAAAGAAAGGAAAATACTCATAGTGATACTACTACTAATAAACTTAGAATATACAAAACAATTAATGCACAGTGCAACTGCTCACTGCCCACTGAACAATGTCCAGCCAGTTTCTGAGGAGCGGCCCTTGGCTAGTTTTCCCTCCTAATTGATATACATGACATTCTATAGTATAGAATATCCATTTGGCCAGTTCAGGTCAGCTGTCCTGCCTGTGTCCCCACACAGTTTCCTGAATGAAACTGAAGCATCAGAAGCTGAAAAGTCTATCACTTAGGGCAAACACAGCTCAGCAACTACTAAAACATCAGTGTGTTATCAACATTATCCTCATACTAAATCCAATATACAACACTGTACCAGCTATTGAGTAGAAAATTATCCCAGCTGAAAGCAGGATTAAAATACCTGCAAGATCTCTTGACAACATAGCAAACTATATATTTTTAAGTATATGAATTTACAGACAAAGCAAGAAACCTTATTGATGTATTTTCTCTGTAGTACTCCTCATGATGAGGCTGAAACAGCGCTGTCTTGTGAGCAGAGGTATGATGATGCACGCTACAGATGGCACTGCACTTCGCATTTATCCAAGCACAAAAAGCACTTGTCAGGCTCACAAATGCACTAAGCAGATGGGAGAGCAGTAGCCCAAAACTCTAAGGAGGCAATAGCAGAAAAATCAGATGAAACCATAAGGCTCAGATCCGTACTACTTCAGATAGATGGGAAATGACATGTCAGAAGTTATGTCTTCGTTCTGCAAATAAACACTCCATGATGATGTCTGTAATCAAACCATGAGCTTGCTAATTCCAGGGATGCACCAAGAACAGATGAAATCCTGGATAAAAACCTAAACTCAAGGAAAAGAGGTCCCATCGACTTGGGGAAGGTACAACAACCAGTCATAATAAAGGGGTAGTTTTTACATTTATTCCAGACAAATTAAATCATCACTTTATTGAGCAATGTGCATACAGTATATCCTTTAAAAATACTATTTCTCCAGACAGCCAATCAAGTTTACTCATAAGATATTCAAGACTTCTGTTACACTACATGGTATAAGCATTATTAAGGTGAAAAAAAGGAAAAAAATAGAGCAGCAGAACAAATAAAATAACAAGTGCTAAAAGATGGTTCTACCTCATCTTTTGTGTATTCTTTCAGATTTCAATTCTTTATCAAAAGAAAGTGTGACAAATTCTTTTCTCAAGAATACTACCAAAATACGTCAGCTACACAGGAATTTTTTCAAGTAGGAATACACAATTCCAAATTATAGCTTAATTTCAGGTTTTTTCTTTTTTTAAAGAAAGCTATACTTCTACTCAGTGTGATGTTTTTTCAGAATTGTATTTTTATCTTATTTTTCTTTGGCATATACTAAAAGTACCGGTACAAATGAAAGGTATTTACAAGATATTTAAAAGATTGTTTTTTCCACAGTACAGTGGAAGCAGCAACAAGCATTTTAAAAGGACTTTCCAATGTGTCCAGTGCTGAAAAATTTTGGAATCGAACTCCCTGTTTCAGATCAGAAGGCAGCATGCCCTCCCCTTTCCAGGCAGCAGGAACCAGAACACAAGTTGTCATCCTTTTCCTGACTGAAGCTTCCCAGCCAAACTTCAAATTGAAGATCATTTAAATAACTGGGATGTCTGCTGCAGGCTTTTAGCAACTATACCCAAGTTTGTAGACCTCAGAGATACACTGGGCATGCAGATCTGACAACTATCTAAGTTAATGATCCAAAAGAATTGCCATGCAGAATAGCACAGTATGTCTTGCCATCGCCCAACATCTTCCTGCAGCATAAACAATTTTAACTCAAAACCAATGAACTGAGGGCCTATTATGTTAAGTCGATCAAGTATGAAGAGCATTAAACAAAACTGTTGTCTATTACTCTGCCTTAACTGGCACAAGTAAAAGCCACAGCTGTATCTGGATATAACTGGCTATAGAAAGATATTTTGAGGGTGAGTGCTGTGGGTTAACCCCAGTGGGCACCTAAGTGCTTGCATCCTCCCACCCCCAGTGGGATGGGGAAAGAGAAAACAAAGAAGTAAAACTAAAAAAGATCGTGGGTCAAGATAAAAAATGGCTCAGTAACCAAAAGATATCTGGAAGAAGAGATAAAGACAACAAAAGTGATGCAAAGGCAATCATTAACCACCTCTCTGACAGGCAATAATGCCTATCCAGCTCCCAAGATAGGAAAGGCTAATCTCCCTAAGTCCCCTCCTCTCCATTATCATTGCTGAGCATTATGCCACACAGCACAGACTATCCCTTCAGTCATTTTGGGTCATCTGCCCAGCTGTGCCCTGTCTCGGTTTGAAAGACAGGTGTCTGCTAGGGAAAGCGGACCCTCCATTGGACTGGAGAATGTAAACCTCCTCCCTCTGAATTATTATAATTTTGAAATTAAGTAGCTCTCAGGCAAAGATATGAGGATAGCAATAACAGTTCTCTACCAATATGTATAACAAGGTAAACAAAACAACTATGCAATTAGTAACAAACAGAACCAGGGACCCCGGGACAGCCTTCTCGGCAGAGACGGGAAAGGAGGGAGGAGAGGCTTAGCTTCCCAAAGCCCTGGGGCAGTCGATCCCGGTGCCCCTGCAGGACTCTGAAGAGCACTAAGCTGGAATGGCAGGAATGAGTAAAAGATCCCGGGGTGGTGGACGAGATGTATCAGAGAACTTTGCGGCCACAGTTGGAACTGCGGGGATGTCCCGGCAGGGCAGCAGCGTCCAGCTCCGAGCAGGACAGGGAGAGGCGGGCTCAGGATTCCCAGGCACCCGAGCAGGGAGGAGCGGCGACGACGAGCGACGACGACGACGACAAGGAGGACGACGAGGAGAAGACGCTCCAGGCTGGGTTATGGCAAATTCTTCACCCCAAGCAACAGCAGCTCTGAGCGCAGGCAGAGCAAGCACGAGAGAGCTGGCTACTGCCCCCTCACCCTCCTTTTACCTGGGCCCAGCCAACACTTTGTCTCAAGCACCCGTAAGTACCAGCAGTTAGCGTTTCCCCGCAACTCATGGGAAAAATTCTATAGGTAAGAAGAAACAAACGAAACCTAACCCCCACCATGCCCCTCCCAAACTGTTGTGCACCCCAAGCCTATGCACTGGGAGGCCAGGTGAGAAACAGAGAAGGCCCCAACACTGTGCAAACACTGCTCAGCAACGCCCAAAACATTACTGAGCTATCAGCATTGTTCTGCTCACAAACCCCATACTGGCCGCTATGAAGAAAATTTAACACCATCCCAGACAGAGGTTCCCCTCATGAAGCACGGATTTCTCCTAAACTATGTACTCTATGAAACACATAAAGGTGTGGGGACACCCTAAGGTCTGGGAGACCCTTCCCAGTGAATTGTTGAGACCTCATCATTCACAGAAAAAAAAACACAAAAAAGCCAGAAACAAACAAAAAATCAAAAAGACAACATGATCTACTCTGTTTACTTTTTTTATGACTCCTGAGACCACCAACATGAATGTGACAGCAAAATGAAGCACAATTTTTACTCACAGAATTAAAACAAAATATTTTATAGCTAAGGCAAATATAATCTACTCCAAACCCTACTCCTGCCAGTGGTCAAAATTCCCATTTACTTTACGTGTCATCAACTCTTATGTTACTGTGCTGGTCAGTGTCCCACTGAACTGCTTCAGTCAGACTGCTGTCAAAAGCAGGGAAGCTTTAGAGTGGTTACAATGCTAAGTTTTGATTGTTCTCGCTTCAGAAAATAATTTTGAAAACACAAATGGAGAATATTCAGAAAAGTCCTCTGTCACTATTGAAAAGTATTATGTTCCTTACTCCAGCTATGGGTCT